ATACCACGCAACAGAATTCTAACACATATTGTCATTGTAAGAAATATATTATCATTGTAAGAAAGTTTGAACTGTTAGAGAATTCTGTTTGCCGGTGTCACCTCGCTTGTTGCAGAGGCTCGATAGAGCTTCTTACACGAATAAGCCGGTATCTGTACCAACTCTTATATGGATCATCGTAATACGAGATCATCTTCAAGAGCGGCGGTCGCTGAGCGTCCAGAAACTCCAGATAACGGAGAGGATGCTACGGTCGTACGACAAGCATATGCTAGGATTTGCACAGATTTGTTATATATTGAACCGGTATTTGTGATTTGTGACGTACGTATTACTTTTTCCAGAGCTAGATTGAATAGTTTACAAGAGAGTGGGTCTACCTGACGTAGCTCGTTTGTTTTAAAAGGTTCAGAGAGTTTCCCCTGGATTCGTACTCTACATTCAACTTTTTCAAGGGTTAGACTTCCAACTGATTTGGTACTCCTAGGTCTATCATTGCTCTAAACAATTCTCTTCTATTTACAGAGTCGTAGACTGCCTTGTTGTCTATAAATGTGTGGTGCGTGTCTACACCGTATTCCAGTGTTTTCCCTAGAATTTGTCTCAGGGTTAAATCTGATGAATAGTTGATTTACCATCTCTGAAACCAGCCCGGTATTGTCCTATTATTCGATCTTCATATGGTGCCATACGATGGCATAGTATATTGGAGAAAATTTTGATACGCTGCATTTAGGAGCGTAGTTCCTCGATAGTTCATAGATAAGATATCTCTCTTTTTGTCTATGGTGCAAAGTATTCCAATATTTCAATCACTGAGAAGGGACTTCTGTATCCATATTTCTTTTATAAGCTGCTGTAGCGCTATTATGATATCGTGGCCACCTTCTTTATATAATTTTACTGGGAGATTATCTATTCCGGGTGATTTGTTTCTGGCTAGTTTGTTTACAGCGTCTTTAATTTCCAGGATCGTTGGTGGATCCTCCTCCCTCTCGTCTGCTCCGCTTATCTCACAGCTTTCGTCTTCCGGGTTTTCTTCTTCTTCCTCTATATTAAGTATCTGGTTAAAATATTCCGTCCATCGATTTAGTACATTTGTTCTTGTTGTTAATAGATCGCCATTCAAACTTCTATATTGATTTGTGTTTGCCTTGAGTTCTTTTCTGTTGATGTTAACTTTCTTATAGAATGTTCTGAATTCTTCCTCCCTCTTGAGGTTTTCTATATATTGAAGTTCCTTTTTAAGTGGTTTCGTTTCTGCATTCTGTGTATTTTCTTTTCTTCTCTTCTCTTTGTCTGGTAATTCTCTACACTTGTTCTAGTTCGGCGGGTAAGCATTTTTGCACAGGCTTCATTTTTTTTGTGTTGCGTCTTTATATTCGTCGTCAAACCAGTGATTTTTTCGGGTACAAGTTTCTGTTCCTATTTCATCTTATGCGACTCAATATCTTCCTTTATCTTGTTCTAGTAGAAGTCTATATCTCCCTGGTCTTATTCGCTTAGACTTTGATTTCTTGACCTATTGGTAATATTTTCCCAGTACTGTTTTGCAATAGTTGCATCTCTCAGCTTCTGTGCATTCCATTTCTTTCTATCTATGTTGAGATCACTAAACAGTGATCTGAGTCTATGTTTGCGCCTCTATAACTTCTGCAGTTCATTATGTCTGTTCCGTGTATTGAATCTATTAAGATGTGATCAATCTGACTAGTTGTTCTTCCATCAGGGGAGGTCCAGGTTACCTTGTGTATATTCTTGTGTTCAAAATAAGTGCCAGCCACGGTCATGTTCAGTGCTGCTGCTAAGTTCATCAGTCGTAATCCATTATCGCTACTGATGTTATGTAGGCTATGCCTTCCTATAGTCGGCATAAAAAATCGCTCTCGTCATATTCTTGCATTCGTGTCAACTAGCACTATCTTGATGTCATTTCTGGGGCATCTTCTGTAGGCTTGTTCTAGGTCTTCGAAAAACTGTTCTTTAATGTCTTCTAGTTTGTCATTTTCATGTCTATTAATTAAACATTAATTACAGCATTTGCCTTTTAAGCCTAAATAGCACATTCTTTGACTGTAGGCTTTAAAATCAATAACTAAGCCTTTTGTTCTTTGGTTTACTATATATCTCACTTTATTAGATTAGAACAAGGTTAATGATTTTATTCTATTAAAAGGAAAAATCTAAGGAGATCGAACACTATAGACCTATAAGCCTCCCTTACCATTTGCATAATATTTTTACAAAAATAGACACCTGTAGATTAGAAAATAAACTAGACCCGTATCAACCAATAGAACAAGCCAGTTTTCGCTCAGGTTTAGACGATACAATCGAACGGAATAAGCCGGGCTCTAATCCAGTATCGTGAGAATTACATACACAGTACACACCCGCTTAATTTATAACATGTCATGTATAAAAAATAAACAACAAATGTGCAACTCCATGAAAAACTAACTAGTTACAATTGGAGAGAGGTGTTAGACAAGGAGGCACAATGTCACAAAAAACTCAATTGGTTCAAGACCGGCATAAATATCGACAGAAAATGGCATATTTACTTTCTGCATTATTATCTTTAATGGGAATTAATTTCAGCTAAAAATACGTTTATTTAAACGTTTGGATAACAAATTATTTTGTTTCGTTACTTGGTAATAAAAATACAAACATTAGTAGTTTAATGTTATATCTTGTTATAATCACTAATGTTTGTATTTTGAGAACGATTTCCGAAGTGGAAATTGAAATGTCAATGCACTTTCTTTAACCTTTAATTGTGGTTTATTCAATTTATTATAAAACAACGACAAAACTGAAATTGCGGTTAATTTCCATAAGAGATGGAAAATAATATTAAAATAAATAAGAAAATGGCTTTCTAGATATCTACTTTCTTAAAAAAAAACCGAAGTTGTAACTGTGATTTGACGAAGCGTCATGTTAACAAAGTTCGAGAGTTTTAGCATACTATGAACACAGTTTAACCACAAACAGTTAGGACACTCTTAGTCGGCGCCTTTGAAGTATAAAAGTATCCAGACGCCATATTGAAAACAGACTAGATCAGTTACGGACTGGCACAAGTGGTTAGAACAAAGACGTGTTTATATTATTTCAAAGTTAGTAAACAAGTTAATTTGAATTAATTACAATCGACAATATATTAACTTAATTTAATTTAATTATTATTATCAAAATGTTTTATTTATTTTATATAAAAATAAATCTTTTCTGCCATAGCCAAATAAGAAACTGAAAAACTTATATTCCAAAACAACAAATTATATCGGGAGGCAATTTTGTGTGTAAACTAATTTAAATAGACTTACTGTTAACTTCTACAACAATAATTTAACAAAAGTAAACAAAAAACTTTAACAAGTAAAAATGATATCGGAAAAAATAAGAGGGAGTGAATACGTATATCTATATATATATATATATATTATATATATATATATATATATATTATATATATATATATATATATATATATATATATATATATATATATATATATATATATATATATATATATATATATCTTAATTTCTAAAACAATCTTGACAAAAGTTTAGGGTGATACTACGTTCCTTACAATTTGCTCTCTTACAGTCATCACATGATTTCATGTCTTTATGTTTCGGACAAAAATGACGTCTTGTTTGCTTAGCAGGTTGTCGATTTGAAAGTTCCTCAGTTGGGTTTCTTGAACTCTTGTCTTGATCTGTTCCAAGAATTTTTATGATTGTGGTTTTTAAATCATTATTAGAGAGCTGTTTCATATCTTTTCTTCTTTTCAGATGTTCATTCAAAAGACTTTAACCGAGTAATATCGTGAAATGTTTTTGAGACAAAGAACATTGACTATTTGCGCTTTTATAAAGAACATATGCATTTTTTCTTGTTATATGTTAAATTACATAAAATACAACCAGAGGCCATCTTTTATATTATAAGTTTTTTACCTGCCTTTTTAAATTGCATTTACTACAGTTTCTAGTAGAATGGTTGTGAATTTAAGATTTTTTTAGTAGCAATGGTACTTGTTTCTTTTTAATGTATTTCATAGAGTTCTAGCAGTAATACCAGTTTCTTTTGAAATTAGAACGTGCTGTTACAAGGAAAATTAATTTCAGTTAGACTACTTACGGCAGTTTTAGGCTGTTCCTGTTCTTCATTAATTGCACGAGCTGGTTAATTTTCAAATTTAAAAATAATGTTGTGAATTGCAGATTTTGATGGTACAGGGCTTTCGAATGAAAACGAAAACGTAGCGGTTACATCGTTGGCCCTACTTCCAGAATAATATCATTTAATAATTTGAATTTTATGTTCAGTTATAAAGGTTACCATTTTCCTAACTGGAAATATCAATTACTCTATTTTTTTGCGAATAAAACCAGAATTAGTATTTATTTATTTATTAACGGGATGTTTCCATTTTTTACAAAACAATTAACAACATAAAATATCCTAACCATAACATAAATACTAAAACTAAATATTAAATAATTATTAAATATTGTTAAACAATTATTAAATTACATAAATTAAATTTTTATAAAAATAATTTTAAAATGAAATTAATATCCCCAAGTTTTTTTAGACTTAATTAAACGAAAAATAAAACTCGACGATAAAGATATAAACAAACAAATCACGACAGATGACTCGACTACACGTCACATTAATACCAGTCGGGTGTCACTAGCGTTCGGTCTGTTTTCAATATGGCGATATGGCCTGCGCTAAATGATGCGCGTACTTTTTCCCGCCTGTCGAGTGTCCATACTATTTCTTTTTTATACTATGCTATGAATATTTCAAAAATCGATCAGTCCAAACGTTTTGCTGATGTGCTAAAAATAAATAAATTAATAGGAGGGGGGTAACACTTATTCCAGCTCGCGCTATATATCGGTATATCAGAATATTAGTAATAAAACAAATATAATTTGATGTTTTCCCACTAAATAAATTTTCCTACTTACTTTGAGCTAAGACTATTCCAAAATAACCATCAAATCCAAATTGATCCAACCTTTGATTAACAAAATTTAAGACATTGTCTAATGCTTCTTTAACTTCACCTAATAATCCATTAGTTCCGTTAACAAATAAAACCAATCCCACAATGAATAGAAGATACATTATACACTTATATTATGATCTGTATTTTTCAACGTTATATGTAGGTTTTTCGAGAAAATAGCTTTTATTAATATTTCGAACATTATTAGTTGATATCTTGTCTAAAACCATATGTGGATTGATAATAAATAATCAAATAATAAGTTAAGTTAATTAGAAATACTATAAATACTTCTTAGAATATTATTCTATGGTGTAGCGAGCTTATAAATATATCAAATGACTGAAATAAATATTGACTTTTTACAAATATTTACTATTTTACCAAATACAAGATACTTTAACAATTTGACAAGGTCCTGAGATTTAAACGAATAACGGAAATAGGGTAAGGAAAGGTATATTGGTGATAAAAATGAAAAATACTAATAATATTCGCTCCGTGCGTGACTGACACGACACCTACCGCCTTTTTCTGACAATTTTGGAGTCCCAATTTTCAGGTAAACATATGACATATGTTTGACATTGTTAAATACCTACATGCGAAATTGACAATTATTAATAAATTAGTTTTTTAACTATATTTTTCAGTTTATGTACAAAATAAATGTAGTATTAAAAACTGGGTTTCTCAAAATTCATCATAATTTTTCAACTCCAAACGTAAGAGAAAGGGAAAAATCTAGTACTGACAAATCAAGTTTCTTACGCAAAAGAGCATATAATTAAAAACAATAATAGTAAAAGTTATGATATAAAAGCTAAAGTCATCTGCAGTTAGCTTGAAGCCTTATGAAATATCATTCAAGGTAAATTATTTAAATTTTTCCTATTTCAATTGCGTAAAAATGAAATTATGTGACATTTACTTTTTCATATTAATAGCAGGAATTTATCTTTTTCTTTTCTCTAATTTATATGTAATCTTTGGGAACATATAAAAACTACACTCACTGTTTTTGCTATTATTAGCACAATTAAATACGCAACATGTATTTGCACACATTTTTGATAAAATTTATGCGTAAAAATATTTTGTCCAATATTCCAATTTTGTCATATTTCGCCGCTATGCACGCTGGCGTCGTTTCAATGTACCCCTACCATGGTCACGCACAGAGCGAATAGGAATTTGAAAACTAAGCAAGAAATAAGTTTTGCTTTATTACATTACTTATTATTTGAAGTAAATGTTTAGAAGAGTTAATTTAACAAAAAAGGACTAATAATGATAGTAAATGTCAAATTGACATACAAACTTATGTTAGGTAAGTTGGTGACACGGTAAGGTATATTGCTGATAGTGGTTAGGAAATTGTATATTTAATCAGATATTCAAACATTTTATTCCATACAACGATCACATCTATAATAAAGTTTTTCATCGGCGTCAGTATCTTCGATAGATATTCAAATCTCGTAGTATGGTGTCAAACAAGATGAGCACTGAATCCATTGGGCTCTATTTCTTTTCTTAACATGAGTTGAATACAGGACTTCACATAAGTCACACTCCCAATCATCTATTTTACTTTTTCTTTGCTTTTTGGACAGATTTATATGAAGTCGAGGGCTGTAGCTGAAGATTTTCTGTTACTGAAGTGTTTTCATTTGTCGGTGTTAAGCATTTCGCACTTGAGTCCCTTTTTCTTGACCTTGTCCTTGACCTGGACGTTTTGAAGCTGTTGGTGTTTTCAAAATATGATCGACTGTGACTTTAGGATTTAAAATAGAAGATTCATGTCAGTTAAAGATGAAGGCTGTAATGCTTCTTTTGGAATAACATCTCCGTTTAAAGGACATATGCCTGTTTTTTAAAAGCATTCTCAATTTTTTTCTTTGTAAAGGCGCTTATGTAAGTTGGATTCAAAATGGAATGGAAATGCTACGATTTGGAAGATCTGTAGGGTTATTGCTCATATAACGATTCATGCTAACGCGCCAGTAAGTCTTAAGTGGCTTGAATAGTTCCACGTCAAGTGGTTGCAATAGATGAGTGCAATGAGCTGAGAAAGCAAATAGGTAAACTTGATTATCTTTCGCTATTTTCAAAACTTCAGCTCCAATGTGGGCAGAATGAGAGTCCATCAACAATACTACAGGACGTTCAGGCGGTATCGTAGTGACAAAAAAATTTAACCATTCCAAAAACAATTCAGAATTGATCCATCCTTTAGGAGATAATTTTATTAATGCGTTGGGAAGGACATCATTTTTAAGTATATTATTCCATCTAACACCTTTGCATGCTAAATGCATGCTAACATAGTTTGAGTTTGACCTCGTTCAGCATTTATAAATAATATTTAATAATTTAGAGATATCCTTATGTGTACGATTATTGTAATTATTAAACCTCTTAACTTATTTTCGTCTAGTTTCTTCTTATAGTTTTCTAAATATTATATTATTATTTTCTTTTGTACACAATTAATTATATAATATTTTAAAAAGTCATTTAATATTATTTTGCTAATTGAATAATTTCACCAAATAATGCATACAAATCCCATTTAACTATAACATGAATTCAAATTCTACTCTCCAATGACAGCATGCGCGAACACGACCGATTTTGTGCTACGGGAAGATCCTATCTTGTTAAGGTCCATCCGCTCAGCTCGGGCAAATTTTCACAGATTCATAGCTAGAAACCGACAACACAAAAGTTCTTATCACACAGTATTAACAGCTTAAATAAATTTTTATTACAGACATCTTTAATTGAAAAAAGAAGATTATAAATATATTTCAGTTGGTATAATTTAACATATTATTATTCCAGTAAGTATTTAAATTAATGAGGCTTATAATTTTATTATTATACACTATTCGCTCCGTGCGTGACAGACGCGACACCTATTGCCTTCATCTGACAGTTTTGGACCTCCCAATTTAAACAAGTTAAACATATGTTCAATACATACGAAATTGACAATTATTTATAATTAGTTTTTTAATTATAGTTTTTCAGTTTATATACAAAATTAATGTAGTATTAAAAACTGGGTTTCTAAAAATTCATCACAATTTATCTTGTCAACCAAAACGGCGAAGAAAGAAAAACATTTAGTACTGGACAATCAAGTTTTTCATGTGGAAGAGCATGTAATTAAAAACAATAATAGTAAAAGTTATAAATAAAAGCTTAAGTCATCAGGCAGGCTGCAGTTAGCTTAAAGCCTTATGAAATATCATTTAAGGTAAATTATTTAAATTTTTCCCATTTCAATTGCATAAAAATGAAATTATGTGATATTTACTTTTTCATATTAATAGCACGAATCCGTCTTTTTCTTTTCTCTAATTTATATGTAATCTTTGGAAACCTATAAAAACTACACTATTTTTGCTATTATTAGCACAATTAAATACGCAACATGTATTTGCATCCATTTTTGATAAAATTTATTCGTAGAAAGAGAGGTCCAATTTTGTCATTTTTCACTGCTACGCACGCTGGCATCGTTTCAAGGTACCCCTACTATGGTCACGCACGGAGCGAATATGGTGTAAATAAATATTGATTGTCAATAATTTGTAAAGTTCTATTTTATTTACGTTTGTTTACATTATTATTGGATATGAGCACGTGTGCTTGGCTGTAGAGTAATTTCCAGCCATTTCTAGTCTGTCAAAAAGTAACTAACTTCGCAAAAATATAATTACTAAATTCACTAGGCAGTTCGAACTGGGAATAGCGAACCGACTATAGTCATAGCACAGAATAATAAGCAATCAGAATGCCCACTCTCCATGGAAAATTAAGTACGCGCATCTACTTTGCGCAGACGTTCCGCCATGTTTTAGAGGGAACCAGTGTTGTTTATGTGGTGCACATAGAAAAATTAACCCGGTTTAATTGACTTACGGCAATCATAGACATACTATACAATTATATTAACATTGTTAAATATAATAACATAAATATAATATAATTAAATATAAACTCTTACATATCTCTGATATAAACCAGATATAAACCAGTGATATGGTCTCTCTTACATATCACTGATATAAACAATTACATAACCTCACAAATCATATGTCTGTGTCAAGGTTAGTAAAAGGGAGGTTGTATGGTAACTCTAGACATTAACAGAATGAAATATGACGTGTGACGTCACCCAGGGGGTCAATTTTACGAATTGTTTGAAAACAAAATAGGAGAAGTGGTTTGGAGAATATATTTTGTTGTTAAATATCGTTACTGCTATAGTTTATGTTAATATCTTGAGATATAATATACCTATAGATATTATTGAGTGATTTTAGTATACAACTTGGACCCAAAACTCTTATACAAGTGTTAAGATACATTTAAGGTGGTTGTGTCTTACTGGATTTTATTTCTGCTGTATTATATAGTAAAGGTAACATTGGGATTAATGAAGGAAAAACATAACTTTTAGTGTAGCAATCTGCAAAAATAATTCAAAAAATTCCAAAAAGGATGGAAGGAATTTAATGTTTTTTACATTTTCAAAAAATGTAAATATTCAAAAGCAATGGATGAGCAAGTGTCATAGGAAGGACAAGTGGTCCTGTTTTAATAAAAGAGTTTGTAGTATACACTTTCGCATGGAAAATCATGAGGATGCTTTATAAAAGTTAAACTATTAAACATACAACCTAAAAAGCTGAAAAAATATGGTGAGTAGGTATAGTCATTTAAATGTTCAGTAAAAATGTGATAATTCACTGATTTTGATTTAGAAAATAATAATTTTTTATTTTCTATTATATAATCCAGTAATGTAATCAGATGTTGCTTAAATATATTGAAGTTAAGAGAAAAACTACTAATTTTGATATATAAATCTTTAGTTTAATCTCTTTTTCAGCATGGTGTACTTGTTTGGAGGAGTTTATCACTACATGCATTATCCTCAATTATCCTCAAAATAATTTTAAAAAAGTAAATTGTATTCAACCCATTATTAATATAGTATATTAACATGTTTTAGTCACATGTATACACAAGAAGAATCTACTTCCAATTTAATATAGTAATGCTATTCTACTACATATGTTTAGCTGCAATAATATTTTATGATTTGTGTAACTCTACAGGTACTTATCTCCCACATGTTTTAAAGATTGAATAAAATAAATTCAAAGTCCAAATCAAAGTCAAAATAAAAGTCCAAATGTATTTTTTTTTTCAATATACAGAGATCAATATATTTACATATTTACATTTACATATTTACATATTTACAATCATTGCTGCTTTTCGAATTCATATCAAGGAGTAAAGTGAATGAATTTGAATGTTGCATTCTCAGTGACATTATACCCGCCGTTAGATTCTCGATTCTGATTGGTGTAAAGTTACCAGACAACCTGTCTATTTTTAATAACCTTGTGTCTGTGTTATCTGTTTCCTTCTAAAGGTCGATTCAGACACATCAGTCCCGTCATAGTCTCGGCGCCGAACCGATCCTGTTTGGTCACAGAACTATCAACTATTTGACAGCTGGGAAACTGTTTGTCAACTGATGAGTGTGAATGCCGGCAACATTTTGTATTAAACAATATTTTGTATGACGGATTGTTCGGTTCGGCGCATACACTGTGACGAGACGTGACTGATGTGTCTGAATCGACCTTTAAAGAATATGGCGCCGGCATTCACATTCATCAGTTGACGAACAGTTTGCCAGCTGTCAGATAGGACCGGTTCGGCGCCGAGACTGTGACGGGACTGATATGTCTGAATGGACCTTAAAACATGACGCGCGTACTGAAAAACTTCAAAGGCGGCATCTGAGAGTGGACATTCTGATGGTTTATTATTCTGTGGTCATAGGATCATGTTGTTGTCTATAACTGCCGTTTTATAGGTCACGTTCGTCAAATGTCAATTAACGTTAATAGGGAGTTTTTGTGCAAGCAAATACGTATACGTAACGTATCTTTTTGACATATAAGCATGCGCATTAATGATTGAACCAACGTATCTAGATACGTCTTACCTAACGTAACGGGCTGGTACGTTGCGTTCATACGCATCCCTATCGAGCCGAAAATTACCGAATGCACAAGGGATCTTACCCGATTACCAAAATATCAACATCCACATTTGTGGTTAAGTATATTTGTTTTGATTTTTATAAATAATGGAAAACAGTAGAAAACGACTTCACTTCAGTAATAAAGATGATGTAATGAATGTTTTTGTTTAAAGAAGCCATAAGCCAGAACCCTTGCGATCATCCAGAAAGGTGAAATTTATTCCAAAAGCGAAAAAGATTTTTACATTGTATATCAGACATGGTATGTAAATTAAAGCGGCCGTATAGTCGTGCAAGATGTGGAGAAGAAGCGGATTTTCTATGTCCTCGTCTTCCTCATCATCAATAATGGCACCTACATTTATTATTGCGTCCATCTCCAAAATTAAAAATTGTTTAAAAAATATTTGTTATTTTGAATATCAAAAATGGGGTTAAGCGACAAGTACAAGACAGGCACTGACAACGACAATTTATTAGTTTATCACTAATTCGATGAGGGCAACACCATCGTTACGTTACATGCAGAACAAAAACTCTCAATTTAACGTTCATCTTCTTCGATACGTTAGTTCTTTACGTATAGGGAGATACGTTACGTTAGGTGGTTACAAAAACTCCCTAATCTGTCGTTATCCCTTATTTATTATTCAAGTCGCATGACAAGTATAAAGCTGGATTTATAGTTTGATGCACTGTAGACGTAGACGCACTGGAGACGTAACAAACGAACTGTAAATATAATTTCAATTTATAAATCGACGGAGTGGAATTTTTGCGCATGAGTAGAAACAGCGGCTAGAGTTGGTGACCATGGCCCTGATTCTATTTCATTTCGATGTCGAAATTTAAAAGCGACTACGCCATGACAGTCGCAATCGCTAGCGATTCTCATTCATTTCGATTTTAGTTAAAAGTGGGGACATTTACTTTATCATTTTGACACTGCTCAGAATTTGGGTTGGCCGTCTTGTTTATTGGCTGCACGCTTGTTAAATGTTTGTTTTGTTTAAATTTTACGATTTTTGTTTCTTGTTTAAGTTGTTAAATTTTTAGTGGCCATTCTCAATGATTATATTTTGAATTGAAAGAAAATGGATGGAGGCTGTTGGTGATGGTGGCACTAAATTGTCTGTGGACCAAAAAGAAATTATGATGGCTTTTGACTTGTGGTTATATTATATATTATATTTTAAATTTACTGCAGCTTAGTATTGGTATTACTAAAAACAATACATTACCGCTCTAAAAATTCTTGATGAGTTTAAAGATTATTTTATATCTCCAAATAAGAGTGTAGAATTAAAATAAATTATTACAACCAAATTATTTATTATTTCTATCTTCCATTACAGCCTGTTGAATATATTCAAAAATTGTGGTTTCCAATTTAGTTTTAATATTGGGACATTTTATTTCTTTAATTTTTACACCACAGTATATTTTAAAAAATAATCAGTAGCATCTGGCTTCGGGCCCCCAGGTACCGCAGTTCTATTTTTATAGGTGTTAAAATTTCGACCAATTATGTGCCGAATCACATACAATTTCTGATAAAACGCAGCCATACTTTTTGCCTCAGTTTTCGTTGCAACAATCAAACAAAACAACACCGCCTAAACTGAACCTAACCTCGCTTCTCCCAGTCCCGCTAGTCATGTCAGATTAATTTCGACTCGAAATTAAATTTCAACCACTTTCTTGAAGTTGAAATTAATTTCGATAAATCGAAATTTAGTGACGTCCTTTGGTTAGTTCAGCTGAAATCCACTAGGCTCGCAAAGTCGCATTTCGACGTCGCCATATTGATTTCAACATGTTTTCAGTCGAAATCTCAATTAGAATCAGGGCCCATATCATTTTATTATTTATTATTATTATTTTATAAATTCTTAACCTCCATTGTAACAAATAATCAACAAAATAAAAATTCGAATATGTTGATAAGCAACTTTACAAAATTGTGGGCGTGCCAGACAGTTCATTTTGGTTGACAGCACAAAATTCTTCCTTTTGATTGGCCAGACGCAAGTAACGCACTGTAAAAGATGAAAGTTGACCAACTCTTCCGTTACAGTGCGTTTCGCTTACGTCCCGTCTTGCGTTTACGTTCATTTATAAAATAAGAGTACATAAAAGTCTATGTTGATCTTTTTTCAGTACGTCTGCGTCTACAGTCCGTCAAACTATAAATGTTTAACGTCCATTAAAAAGTAATGGGCCTAAAAACTCTCTAATATACGTACAGTATATTATATCGATGGTTTCGTCACAGAATAATAAACATACAGAATACCCACTCTCCACAGAAAATTAAGTACGCGCATCTCCTCCGCGCAGACGTTCCGCCATGTTTTAGGAGGATTTTAAAGAAATTATGTGGTGTGCATGGAAAAATTAACCAGGTTTATTTGACTTACGGCAATCATAGACATACTATACAATTATATTAACATTGTTAAATATAATAACATAAATATAATATAATTAAACATAAATATAAACAATTACATAACCACACAAATCATATGTCTGTGTCCTCCTCAAACATGGCGCGCGTGCTGAAAAACTTCAAAGGCGGCATCTGAGAGTGTCCCTTCTGATTGTTTATTATTCTGTGGTTTCGTACTGTGTAACTGTGGTGACTGTTGTAGGTGGTGTGGTGGTGACCAAACTGTTTTCATTTTCAAGTACAGAATATAAACATTTTCTGAGTATTAATCCACCGAACAACTAGTTGTTCGGTGACTAATCATAGACCACAGAAATTTGTTGTTCAATGTTTTTCAGACTGTCAAGGATTATCTGTCATCTGTCATACTGTCATGACGTATTTCCTTTCCTATGATATCCACATCCGCCTTCTTCCGTGTTTGTCTTTGGCGTCACTTGCTTAATTTTGATGCAGGCAAATTATTACGTCGTATAAATAAAGTCTAAGTAGCAGAGTTTTTCGTTCATAACTGAGTTAATAATTCTAATTGACTCTAAATATGTCTTATAGTACGCGAAGAAGTACTGGATATAGTAAGTTCTTGATTTTTAAACTAATATCACTGTTATTGAATTTTGTGAAACATGGTTGGACTCATGGTCGGCTCTTATTGATTTTAATATGCAACGCCTTTTATTTTTATACTTTGCATCTCAAGTGTGTAGAACTTTCCAAAATATGATTTTCAGTAGTTTTATAAAAAAAATAATTAAAATTTTTTCACAGATACCCAGCAAACACAGAATGTGGGGAATGTTGGTCAACGGAGGCCGGTGGTAACAAATAATTTTGTTCAAGGACAAGTAAGTTCTTTTAATAATTAGTAATTTTAAAGAGAATTCTTAACACTACTCTGCTCAACTACCTTTTTATTGTCAACTTCTAGATGTTTGTTACATCATTACTTTCATTTTGATAAATGGTGATTATTGTCGGCCATGTTTGCTTGGCTATTTGCCAAATTTTCTTTAGAGAAGACAATAATCGATTAGAACAACATTAATATTTATAGACTTTCGAGGGAGTTTTCAGTGTGTACTTTACTACTGAAAACTGGAAATAAGTATATAAATATAATTTCATATCTATATTTGTTCATACATAAAAGATAATTAATAGAATCTCACTAATCTGGCATTTTAATATACCCATACATCCATTAATCAGGCATTCTCTGCCAGCATTATCCCTTTCTCCTTCATCCATTGAACCATCCCAACTATTGGTGCAATGTATTGAACCAATTAGTTGTGTTGTATTATGTTGTATGCTTCAAATATAAAGTTAAAGCTTAGAAAGTATATTTTTACCTGGCATCACTGGCAAGCACCAATATTAAGCTTTATGGTCTTTATGGAGGTTCATGAGAATGAACAAGAACTTAGTTCAAGTTGTAAGAATATCTAAACCATCTTACCACCAAACTGCACATCTTTATTGCAGCTGATGGATCAAAATGTTATCCAAAAAGTTTTTATAAAAAATTTTCCCATCCATATTATTTCTCAGGATGGTGAAAACACAGGACCTCAAAAAATTCAATTTGAAATGTTATTTGCTCACACATGGAGCTGTGTCACCTGACAATCCAATCATGGAAAAAGCTATGGCCTACAATGAAGATATCTATTGTTCATTAGTTTCAAAATTTATCAGAATGAGGATTCGAGATAAGTGAAGAAGACTTCAATGTTAGTTTGAATGGATTGAAGAAACAGGAAGTGACAGATTAAATAAATTGTGAAGCAGTAATAGAAGAAAGACTAATAGAAATATTGAACCCACCACCAGTAAAAGTACAACCAGATACTACATTTAATTGTTTCAATACCCGTATAACATGGACTGAAGAAGATATTGTATTTGCTAAAGATACTATAATTCTTAAAAACTTGTGAGAAAAGGTTTTAGGTTATAAGATGCACAAAAACAAACTTCAGTTATGAATTATTTTAGCTAGGAACATAGCCTCAGAAAAAGCTTCACAAAACAAAATATTGATGATTGACAGTAATGTCATGTCCTTCATGCATGTTGTATCCTTCAAATATAAGGAGAGAAAGATTAAAAAAAGTACATTTTTATTTATTTTATGGATTCTGCAATTTTTTGGTTTGGTCAATTGCTCTTTGACAGATTAACAGATATATTTTGCATAGTCTATACTAGTTTCCAGATTACAAATTTTTAATTTCAAAAATATATTAAACAGCAGGACTTTTATTATTTATACTGAAATTTTACTATTTACTTATTTTTTAAAAACTGTTTTAAAACAATTTTTTTCTTTTGGCATTTCTAAACTATTATTATATATTATCTTACTGCTTTCAATTGTATGTTTCATTTTTAATGTAAATTTATCTAGTTTATGTTTTGAATTCTGTTAGTATGTCTAAAGTAATAATTTTTTTCTTTATTTTACTATTTTATTTTTTTTTATATATAATTATTTATAATTATAGCATGCTCTTTTCCAATTTGGTAATTATTTACTAAGCCGGAACGCCTTGAAAATGCCCAATTTTTTGTGGACTTAGCCGAAAAAGTGAAAAAAACCTCAAATTTTAATGTTTTCTTTGCTTTAAACTATTAAAAGTGCCCAAATAATCAAAAAAATCAGAAAAAATACCAAAAAAAGTATTATTAACCAAAAAAAAATTACATAAAAATCAAAGAAAAGTATATATACATGTCTTAATAAAAAAAACGTAACTAAAACATATTAAATATCACTATTTTTACTGTAAAATTATGAAAAAATGCGTAAAATTGTTTAAAATAATAAAGATTTTTATTATTTCAAACCAATATGGCGGCCATGCACAAGAAGTTAAATTTTATGTACATTTGACATTGTTGCCAGTTTTAATTTCATATTTTCTTTACATTTTATTATTAAAAATGCAAACCAATAAACCAAATCTAACCCAATAAGAAAACATGACAATAAAACTAAACCAACCTAACCTAACGCCTCGTAAAAAAGTAGTAATAAGAATAAAATTTTGTAATATAATTGAAAATAAATTTTTTATTTTTCATAAGAAAATATTATAATAAACGTAAAGAAACGTAACCAAACCTAACCTGACCCTTGTAAAAAAAGCTATAATTTTCAGTTAAAAGTAGGTAATAATAAAAAATTTGAAATTCATTAGAAAACATAATTTTGAATAACTATGGCAACACTGGTTAAAATTACCATTTGTTCCATAAGAAACAGTTGTCATTTCTGTCATTTCTTGTTGTTTCATGGTAAATAATGGCGAATTATGGCTGTGGCTTTTAAAAATCGGGCATATTTTAAATGGAAATTACATAAAAAATAACGTCTTGCACCGCATAAAAGTCATTGCACAATCATAAGTAAGTGAAGCAGAATTCATTAATATAAATTTCATCTCTGTAAACATGGTTCCGGCTTATTACACTAGTACCTCCAATTTATTCTAAGGATGTGCAACTGTCAAATACCAAGATTTTGTTCCATGTAGGTCCATTACATTGCCCTATTATATGTCACATCTATCTAAGTTGCATGTGAGATATGTTACATTTTTCTCCAGTAATGCGGATATTCCAATAAAATGGTGACCCATGGTTTTTAATAGTACCAGATTAGTGAGATTTTATTGTACCAATAATAAAATGTGACACCTCAGGGAGCCAGTTAAAGAAATGAGTAATGTTTTTTACATTACAAATATTTTGACAAAAGATACTCCTTTTAGAAGCCATATTAGTTTTGTAATTTAAATTCTTATCAAATAAAATTACCTTTAAATCCTATTAGGTAAGGATATATGACAGTACATAATGGTTTTACCATTTCTTAAAATTTCATGTGAATGCAGTAAAAATTAGATATATGATGGAAAAATAAGTCAAGTAGAATAACTATCCAAAAAACTATTGTGAATAAAGTAAACTAGTACACTTAAAATAAATTTTGATTTATCAATAATAACATTATGTCAACATGAACAATAATAAGATGTCCCATTGAGAAATATGTTATCTAAGTATTCAAAAACTACACTATTTTGTCATGAATAAACTACATTGAATACTGATGGTGACTTGTGTTTGTCTCAATTGGACAAAGGGTGCATTTTTCAATATTTTATCATTATAATCCAAAATCACTATTCACTATAATTTGTACTTATGTTAGTTTATGCATAACAAATCAAACTAGTTTTTGAATTTTTCCACTTTTTTCTCTTTCCTACATCTTATCATTGCCATTAAAAGTGTAAGCTTGAAATACATTAAATTAGTATAAGCATAACAAATTAATGTTGTTTAATAGTTAGTATACTTGACTTTCTGCATTGGGCTCTATATCTCTTTTTACAATATTAACATGTTTTTTTGGGAAATGCCAACACAGCATTACCCTATCATATATCTGTGTCCAAAAAACAGTATTTAATCAAAATGAGTCAGAGTGGCAATAATTAATAGCATAGAGATTCTCAAACATAGAATTCAGGAACAGGAGAACTCTATGCAATGTACTAAGCAATACTATAGGCAAATGCATGTAAGGTGAAGAAAATATTAATTGTGACAGATTCTGTCATCACTACCAATAATCAGGAAAATACATGCAGCATCCATTAGCTTTACTAATAGTACAGATCTAAAAAGCTACTTCATAAAGTATATGTTTGAGAACTGGAACAATAAATGGAAATCCACTCCATCAAAGCCTCAGAAGATAAAAAAAAATTGATTGGACCATGGCAACCACCCGAGGTATCCAGACGAACGCAAATAATTATTTCATGTCTATGACTTGGATGTATCAAGTTTTCTCATGAACATTTGTTTAAGAAAGAACGCCCAATTTGTGATGAGTGTGGTTCACTCCTTATGGTAAATCATGTGCTAATGGAAAGGTGTGAAAAGTTCGTGATAACTTTATTGGGTTGAAGCGGGTTTTTTTTGTAAATAAAAAAAACCTAAAATCGATTTAACATTTCTTTCTGTATATATTTTTGAACAAAATATATCACTTTCTTTACCAGAGCATTAAAAAGCAAAGCACTGTGATTCTGGACATCACAGATATCAATTATGAAGGTCATAAATTGTGAAATTATGCCCAATTTACTTTGTTCTATAATACATAAAAATAAATTTTATATTTAATTTTCTAAATTTAATTTAAATTCATATTAATAATAAGAGCCAATAAATCTATATTGTATAAAATGTATATCAACATTTAAGTATCATTTTGATGAATTTATAAAGAATTGAGATAAATAATGTACTTGTGATTTAGAACTATCTCAAATACACATTGTCCAACATAAGATGTAGTGTTAAGAATATTGTTAAAGTTGAGTAGAGCTATTAAATAGTATTAGGTGATAAAAGAAGAGTATGAATTTACATTGATGCATTTTTGTATTGTTTTGATCTAGATGATTAGAAATATTACATATTCTGGTAAACAAATAATAATGATTTATTTACTGATATTAAAGGATAGTTTAATATCAGCATGGTTCAAGTTCAATTTTTTACACTTAGTTATTGTAGTGCATAAAATTACATGTTGCTGATTTTTTTTATTTTCTATTTATCCATTACCTTTTAGTATACCTGTTTGTTTTTTAAAAAATTAGCAAAAATTGCATCAATATTCCTATTAATTTATAAGGGCAAGATGTATTTTTGAAATGTAATATTTGCCATTATCGTCAACTTATGATTTAACTTATTACAGTTTGAGTTTAATACCACCAATTCCTCATACCTTATATTAAGGTTACATCTAAATTTTCCATGGATCTTTTGTTTAAAAATATTTTGGATGAAGTATTGTGGTTTTAAGACTATTATTACCATTAATATTCTAACTTAAAAATAAGTACATACAACTTGTCCTTACTAAAGTCTGAGTCAAATTTTCATTGTTTCATATTAGACTGTTAACATAAACTTTTTCTTATGGATGCAGATGCCCCTCATCATTAAAAGCTATGCAGAGCTCTGGTAGTAGCACTTATATAGGCAAATAAATTGTTAGTGTTTGCTAAGTACAGATTATGAGCTACATTGAGGCCGTTCTAACAAAATTAGCACATAATACCGCAAGTATCATGTTTTAAGACAAAGCATGTATATTGTTTTAAACAATAAATGTGGCCTAATATATTTGCGAATACTATGTGCAAATGATATATATTGGCATTAACAATGTTTTACATTCATAAACTTTACTAAGTAAACAATTAAATGTATATCTTGACTACTATGTTTGTGGTTAATTGCCATTACAGTTTTTTATGCATTTTTGTTTTCATTGCATATATGGTTTGTGTAAAAAACTGCTGTGACCTGCATGCTAAATACAGTTTTAGTTGTGAAATCAAGATATGAAATACCTCTCAATAATCTGAAGATGTCTGGAATACCTTGTGTTGGTAATATTCATATTAATTATAAATGTTATTTTGTAATTATTAAAAATATTAATGACATAGGTATTCCCATTTTCAGTTTTTCAAAAATGTATCTTGTTTACAACTGACTGCTATTTATACCAGTTCCCAAATTAGTCAAGATATAAAATAAATGGCTCTCTAACTCTATGGTGCTTAAATAATATCCATACAATAATCTATGACAATTGGGAACTAACACATTTTAGGTCTTGCCTTTATTCAAAAGTTTGTCATTTGATCCAAATTTAACTAGAAAAGAAATTAGTTCAATTAAGTAATATGAAAAAATAAATAATTTTTTTAATCTAGAAAAAATTATTAATATGGTACATTTAAAAATTAGTAGTGAAATATAAATATAATTTGTAACAGTGTTATCTTGCCAATTATTTCCGATTAATTATGGATATGTATTATTTTGGCATCTGGGTTAAAGATGCACCTATATTGGTGCTTCAAACCTTTCAATGGTATAAATAAACCTTGACTGCTCACGTAGCAAAAACCACAGCAGCAGCAGCAGCAGGTACAACAAAATAAGCCAACAACGCCAGCTACTCCAAGACCACAGGCTACAACTCCACAGGCAGGAATTCAGTTCAGGGCCCAGCAACAGACAGTAAGTAAAAATACAATTAAATTCAAAGGTATTATTTTAAATAATTTCAAATTACTGCTGTAATGTGTCTAGATAAAAAATCACATAGATTATCTAATCCAGAAAAAGCCTATCTTGCAGTCAGCATGCCAACAAAAATGGGGATCAAATCCAAATGTAGCAATCTTTCTGCACAAATCCTTCATTAGGTCAATACTGGATTATGGTTGTTTTTTTTTTATTACCAGGCTCCAAAAATTCGCCAAAAAAAATAGATCACATGGTAAATGCTCTGATCAATCCTTCAGTTTCAAATTGTATCCTAATCTAATATCCCAAATTAGAAAAAAAAAGATGACCTGAAATTAAAAAAAACCAAAAAATATAAGAACAGAAAAAAAACAAATCCAAAATAGGATGAATACTTTGTTGTAATAGAAAATATTTCTTTGTAAAATTAGAGCAGGATTATGATCATATACCTACCTAAAAAAAATGAGAAGAAAGCAAGAAGCACTCATTTAGAGCTTAATAATGTTCAAACTCACTGCTCTCCTTATGGCTGCAATAAGATGTTAATTAAATCTATAATGGACACAGCTTAGAGGTTTGTGAAAAGCCTGAAATCAGACACTATTTATTGTAATAATTCTCTAATATATAATAAAACTTCCATAAAATATTTGGGAGCAAATTAATATCAACAGCCAGTGTAATTCTAAAAAGAAATCCTATCAAGAATTTAACAAGCTAGGAAAACACTCATGAACATGAAAACATTTTTTAGAAGATCAGCCCTTAGTCTAGAGCTCAGAATTTGAATGATCTGATGTTACATTTTCTCTGTTTTGCTGTATGGCTGTGTTGGACAATGGACTCTGAAACAGAAAAAAGAATACATGCCTTTGAAATGTACATATACAGATAAATGCTGAGAATTCCATGAGTACAAAAATTACCAACAGCGAGGTACTTTGACATATGAGTAAACAAAAAGAATTACTTAGCGTATTCAAAGAGAGAGAAATACTTTGGTTATGTGTTTAGAGGTGAAAGATATGAATTACTCCAAATCATATTGGAATGTAAAGTGCAAGGCAAAAGATCAGTTGGAAGATGTCAGAAATCATGGTTGAAAGAGCTGATGCTATGGTTTAACTGCTCATCCATAGATTTCTTTTGTGCAGCAGTTTTCAAAGCTACAATTATCAACCTTCGAAAGGAGATGGTGGAATAAAAAGAATATATAATAATTTTCTAATTATAGTCCTACTTAATCAAGTAAATGTGCTTAAAATGAAATTCTTGATACCTAATCTAATCTAGTGCCAATATTGAATAAATTTCCTATAAATACCCATATCGATAATTTCAGTGAAATTATAAAATGTATGAGTTGTGATAAACAATTAAAGGACCATTGACTTTAAAATAGTTATGGCACTTGGATATATGTGTATACATAGCTTAAGAATCATGTTAAATACTTCAGTTGTTAGAGACAAAAATGTCACTTAACTTTAAAATCATATGAACAAGCTGAACTTTGCCGAGAATATCGATTTTGAAATCCAAAAAAAAATATGAAAAAGGATTACCACACCTATCCCCCAGCTTCCCTCTAAAACATCTACTAAAGGAGGGTTGAATCGATTTGAAGCAACCAGCATTTGGAATGTCAGATACATGTGAGAAATTAATTTTAAATAAAAATTTGTATCAACTCAACAATACAAATTTAGGAGTGGTAAACTTTTTACATCTTTGTTGGAGTCCCAAAATTTAAGTTCTCAGCAAAATTCAGCTTGTTTCTATGATTTTCAGAGGTCAAATCTCTTTTGACCCGACTAAAACCAAAGATTATATAGTTTTCATTACAATTTTTTTTACAAGAAAGCCTGCACCCTAATATCTACTTTTTTACATCATTGCTACCAATCAGGCACTAATATCTTACAATCACTTCTTCAATTTTATTATCATATAATTTATATCTTACCACATTGGATAACCACTGCAACTGTCAGTTTGACCCATCATTTTCTTCACACCTCTGACCAGCCAGATATTCTTCAAATGTACGAACAGATGGTAGTTACTGGGGGTTTGATAAGAACTGTTGTACTAAGCATACAAATTTTTTCTATCATAGATGAAGGTTGTCTTATTTTTTATTAAGAAAAGGTAATGTAATCTAATAATCACATGATCAGTCTTCACTTTACTTCATATATTTGTTATTATGTAATAAAGATTCAGATTTATTTATACCAACTCAGTTAACTTCTCATTGAAACTTAGAAAACTAAAAATATTTGATGCAATGTTAGACATCATCATTCTGGCATTATTATTACCCTGTGTGGGTCCTAGCCTCCTTAGGATTTTCTCTCTGGTCATCCATATATTTTTCTCATGTCTTCATCAATGTTATCAATGAACCTGATTCTGAGACTTCCTCTTCTTTTCTGATCACTAGCTGGATCAGTTTGTTCCATCTGCATTACATGTCCTACACAACTCAGGTCTTAATGTATTTTACGATAACTAGTGCCTGGTATATTCTATAAAGTTAAAAAGTGTATTGTCTTCTGCACACTACATCATCATTAATTTTCTTTCAAAACTTTCTAATAGCACACTATCCCACTGCAGGATCACTACATTCATAACCTAGTTAATCAAACTCATATTTTTACATACATTAGAATACATTCTTAATAGTCTGCCAGTCGTAAAATGGTCACAAACATTTTAATTCAATTAATAGTATTTAATTATTTTTTATTTCGTTTATTTATTTTTTAATATACTGCTCATGATGTATATGCATATTGTTTATATCAAATTAAAGCTAATTTTTTTCTTAATATGATGAAAAATTGTTGCAAATTAGGGTTGCCAGCTGTTAAAAATGCAAGGTATCAAAGAAACGTAAAATAAGGGTTAGCGCACAACAGCACTGGTTTGACAAGCGATAATATGCATATTAAATATCAATCGGCGCATGCTTTAAAAAGACACGCGCATGCTTCAAAAAGACACAACTGACACAAACCAGTAGCCTTGTGTGTTAAATGTCTTTTACTTTATCTTTGATACCTTGTGTTTTTAACAGTTGGCAACTGATCATTTTTAACCATTGTACAACCTTACATCATATTAAGAAAAAATTAGCTTTAATTTAATATAAAAAAAAAATTCCTGTACGTCATGAGCAGCATATTTTATTTAAAAAATAAAATTTTTGTTTTGAAAAATTGATCACCATTAATTAAATTAATATTTGCTGCCACTTTTTAACTGGCAAACTGTTATCAGCGTATTCTATTCTTAAATGTATGAAAAATGTGAGTTTGATAACATATTGAAGCAACATAGGAAGTACAAATAACAAATCCATACAGATACAAAATTAGAATAAGATCAAAAACAGTGAATTGGATGTTGCCAGTTTGCTGCGCCTATTTTTCTACTATCCTCATCTACACCATCCCTCTGTCTGAGTTTTGGCCTACCCCTACTTCTACTTCCCACCGGTTGTGACATAAGGATTCTTCTAGGAGGGTTGTTCTGCGGTGATCTTGACAGATGTCCTGTCCATCTTCCTATTTTTATGAGAGATACTATGTCTTTACCACCAAATATATATTTATATCTGTGATATATCTCATAGTTGTACCTCCTTCTCTAAACACCATTTTCACAGAATTATTGAATATTTGCCACCGAATATTCTTCTCAGGATCCTTCATTCAAATATAAGCAGGAGGTTTTCATCTGCCTTGGAAATGGTCCATGTCTCTGATCCATATGTCCACACTGGTTGTATAAGGGTTTTGTATATGGTTATTTTTGTTTTTTGGCTTAAGTTTCTGCTTCTCATATGTCTACTCAATCCAAAATAGCATTTGTTTGCTAGGATTATTCTTCACTAGATAGAATTGGACTGGCATGGGAAATCTAAAATTGCATTTGATGACAATAATTTGCCTATGTAAGAACTTTTTGTGAATTGGTTTCCTATATTCAAAATAAATGAGTAAATAAAGATATAGAAAAGACAGTTCAGGTTTGATTTCATGTATAGTATACAGATGCTATAGCTAATAGTAGAGACACTATATGTGAAATCAAATCTGACCTATATTTTCTATATCTTTATTCGAAATTATTATTCGATATTATCATTCACGAAAGATCCTTACCTAGATGAATCCATATGTTTTTGAATGCAATTTTGGATTCCCCATGTCGATCCAATTCACCCTCTGTTTGCCTTGAAAATTGTAGAAGGTACAGATTTAGGAAGTTTTTGGTTTTATTTTCAGATAGCATTTGTATGAAGTTTTGTTGTTATTACTTACTATGGGTGAAACGATTTGATTTCAAGTTCAGGGCTTCTACAAGAGTCACTCTGATGAGTCTTGTTCAGACAAAATATGTTTAAGTGAATAGTAGAGGCACTATAATGTGAAATCAAATCTTAACTGTCTGGGATCTGTTTTTCAAAAATAATTTCAAAATTCAAAAATAGTTTTCCATTTGATGGTTTTCCTATTCTAATTATTTTATCTTATGGAAAATACAATATAAAGGAATTAAAATGTACTTGTAAAAAGGAAATAAAATACTGAAATTTTTTTAAAATAAATATTTTGACATTAGAACTGAAACATGACAGTTGTGTAAGCATTGTTGAAAAAGAGCTGTCAAATTGGGGATTGCTTGCTGTAAGGTCCCATTTAAAATAATTTTACAAAATGCCGTTTATGTACTGTTTTTAATGATTGCCTCAGTATGTGATGACTATAAAAACTATGAGGCACTTTAAATTGTATGCACACTTTATACTATAATATTATTCATATACTTAGCCACAACAAGGAAATCAACAAGCCCCAGTATCTCAGACAACACAAGCAGCAGTAGCTGCAAGACAGCAGCAACAACAAGCGCAAGTACAACAACAAGCGCAAGTACAACAACAAGCGCAAGTACAACAAGCGCAAGTACAACAACAACAACAGCAACAACAACAACCTCAAATAAAGCAAGATACAGATGTGGATCAAACTATGGATACAACTAATGGTATTTCAACAGATGGAACTGAAGTAAAGAAGAAGCCATTTTGGGCCAAGTCTGGTAAGTTCAAGTATGATTGTTTACTACTTGTCAAATATAGCTTAAGACTTTTATAGTATTTTTGATATTATGCTTGACCTCTGATATGTAGTGAACACTAAAAATCATAATTTATTATTTCGTGGTCGCTGAACTGGAGGTGCTTGTATTAAATTGATCTCTCATGAAATGAAAAATATAGAATATGCTTCTACATCATTTTTGATGTAACCCAGTAAAGAAGAAAAAAAAACACTGAAAAATCTTATGCAGGTATTTGGAGGTTCTAAAAGAATAATTGTATTGTGTTACTAACGTGGGATAAACGTCAAATGGCCTAAATCACAGCCACCTTTACTTCCAAGCCATGAAGTCAAAAAGGCAACACCGCGTTCTATGACGTCGGTAGTCCGATAATCAGCTGTAAGGTCTACTAGAAAATTATACTAATTTGAATTTTAGGAAACTGATATTTTGAAAACTTCAATTCATTACAGAAATATTTTTAGGGAAATTAAATTAATAAAACCTTATATTTACCTAATAAATATATATATATATATATATATATATATATATATATATTATATAAAGTTTTATTGTTATTTAGGTTATATTATCAATAAAATAATCAGTAGAGTAAAATTTATTGCACTTAAAATACAGTGTCAAACAGTTAATCTTACAATCAAATGCGGTCAAGAATCTCTAGAAATTTTAAATATTAAGTACTTAAGCATATAAATAACACAATACATTAACACGACATTTAAAAAGATTATTAAAAATACAAAAGATATAAAATTTGTTCAGTAAAAACTTAGTGTAACTATTATGATTAAAAAATTCATCCTAAGAAATCAGACACAATATAAACATGGTTCTAAATTAATCGAATTGAAAATTAAATATTTTACTATTTACTATTTACTTTTGTTTAATTTTCATACTTAGGTATACGAAAGTAGCAATTTTAAATATGAATAGGTTTTTTGTCATATAGACCAAGTTAAGAGAGGTTTACATGAAAAATGTGTTGAATGTAACATACCATTTATAACTTTTATATCGATTTAAAATAGCCTATATTCTCAAAAGATTTTTGAATGTAATACTCAAATTTGTTATCACTTGTCTAAAAAGCAGATCTAAATGAGAAAGTTCTCTAATTGTGACCATCTTGTTAATTTACTATATTGTAAAATCCATTTCAAATCATTACTACTTAATCTATTCTTACCTACATTGACGATTACACTAAAATTACTTCTAACTATTACACTATGTATTACACAAATATTATCACACTTGTGTCCCAACTGATTAATGTTTAATACATAGAAATATACACAGTCACTTGTAATTTTACTTGTCCAATTTTTCAATGGAATATTATTGTCTAAGTCTAATTGTCATAATTATGTTATCTTTTGTTCCCTCTTCTATGCAAAAAGTTTCTTCTGTCTTCGGGATTCCTTCTTTCTTTAGTATAATGAACAGTTACATATGATGGTACTTCAGGAAATATATTAGGAACTGCATTGCCTTTTAATTTGGGAAATATTAACTTTTCAATGTGTACATTTGTTCAGTCCCCTGAATATCATCTTCATGAAAATGTTTGGCACATACTACGGAAGATTTGGTAATTGTATAGCTTTCTCTATGAATAGAGCATAACCCAGTATATACGTATTTACGTATAATATTTAAGGTATTTTTTAAATACATACATGAAATAATTTTTAAATTAAATGATTTGAACAATTTATTTTACTCAGCTTTGATCAATCATGTTTGGAAACTTTAAGCAGTATATCATAACCTCAAAAATTCTACAGCAAACACAATCTTTTATACAGCCACTAGTAGATGGCTTTTCACAAAACAGTAAAGGTCATCTGGTAATAGGTACCAGTATAACTAATCTATAGACATAAAGTGTTTATTTAAAAGGGTGGTGGTATTATATTTAATATTGTAGCAAACAGTATTTATTATTAAATATCGTGGCTGAATGGATCAAGCAATCCAAAGCCAATAGAAAAAACAAAAATAATTTTTTTTTCACTTTATGATTGTTTAAAAAAAAGGGGGCAAATCAGCTGTACAGATCATCTTCACGGGTTTGTCATCAGTTACCCCTCATATATTTCAGAACCTTCAAATAAATACCTTTTACATAAAATCAATTATTTTTCCGCATATACTGAACTAATGCCTACAATAGAATGAAAACAAAACGATTTTGAGGTTTACTTTGTCATGTAATAAATGTTTGTCACTTTTCCTCAGAATTTGTTCTCACTCAAGCTATATGTGAAGAGCAGTAAGAACAATAATTAAGACCAAGTAGAAGCAATAAAAATTATATAAAAAAAAAACTAGATTATACTGAAAAACAACTGATCAGAGCAGATATGTTAAATAAGTTAAATATTGTGTTTATATGGGATTAAGCCGCAATTGATTGTATAGATTACATTTTATGACTATAAAAATTTGATGTTTCAAGTTCCACTCCAGAAATCATTCTCAAAATGATTATTTAGAATTTTGTCAAATTTTGATTATTCTTAGTGTTTGCATTATTAATTATTGCTACAAGTGTTTGTGCGTGAGAGAGTGTTCATGTATTGTGTGCTATTGAAGATGAGTGTCTCGAGAGTTTCTTAATTTTCTGTTGCTGATATATTCTTGACTTATTTCAGTATTGGGAACCAAAGTCTGCTACATTCTGCTAATGGGATTGTTACACATTTTTCTTCTTCAGGATGAGATCTGCTTCTTTGAAGTTACTTTTTCTCATATCTGTTTTTTTTTTCATGATTATTGATGCATGTTTCCATTGTATTCTGTTTTCATTGTCCCATATGTTTACATATCTGTGACTAGTCAAAGTCTCTGTTTTTTCTGTTTCATGCTTGTTTATCCTGACACTTGTAGTCTTGCAGTTTCTCCCACATAGAAATTGTTGCATTCACAAGGGTATTTATAGATGCAGTTTGCAGAGAGCACATGGAAAGCATTAGTGAGAGCGCCCATCAAAGTGGCGTGGCACGTGGCAAGAAGCACACGTCTAGCACGTTTCTTAAAATGTAACCAATGAAAACGAATGATTTAGCGCACACCAAAATTACAGTGACGTCATTCATTCTAATCATTCGTTTTCATTGGTTACATTTCAGGAAACATGATAGACGCGTGCTACTTGCTACGTGCTACTTGCCACGCCACTTTGGTGAGCGCTCGCCCTTAGGAAACATAGTTTGTGTGTCGTTTACTTTTTACTCGGTAATTTTGCTGCGCATCAAGTGAACCGATTGTAGTATTTTCAGTCATTCCTAGTTTTGACAAAGTGTACATGTCAACAGTCTTATTACCCATAATTTTATTCCTAACATACTTAATTTATAATCGGCATGGACCTTGAGATATTTTTAAAAAGTAAAAAGTTCTTTTTACAGATGTTAAAATTTAAATCTGGTTCTTCAACATCTAATCACTTTATACCCTTTGAGCTAACACCCCCCACCAGACATTTTCAAACCATAAATATCTGTTATAAACATATGAACAATAATTAGAAACCTATATTGGCAACAGAAATATTTTTTGTCAGTTGCATATTCTCTATTAAATAATGATGACAGATCACTGCGCAAATCTGATAAATTGTCAACTAAGTTGGATGGTTTAAATGATACACATTTTGCTGAATAGTTTCGTTTCATTACTAATATATTCAGTGCCCTACCTGATTTATTATAATAACCCTCCATATTTTAGGTTCAAAGGTAACAAAAAGAGAAAGAGTACGTAGGCGCAATGTTAGATTAAGCAAAATATTACAACCCAAGAATGCTGTTATGATATTAAATGAACTAGTGAGAAACACCACTTATGCAGTTGATGAATTAACCCAGAAATATGATGGTAACCAATTTAAAGCCACTGTGGTGTATGAAGGAGTAGAACATGTTGGTTATGGTAAGTAATATTTGTTTATTTTGTTTGAAGATTGAATTATGATGTGCCACATGGAGTCAGCAAGGTAATTTGTTTAATAAATTTCCATAGCGTTACGCCTGTGGCAGATTAAGGTTTAAGTTAAGGCACTTATAAATAATCGTTCTGGTTATTTTTTGTGTATATTGCTTAAACTGAGCCTCACTGAGAGTTGATCTTTTTAATTTTAATTAAATAGATCGTAGTTTCGAAGCTTACAATGATTTATAAACAGATTTTCATGTTTTTTTTTTTAATTTGATTTTAATCATAAATCTTTAAAAAATAAACTGAAATAAAATTGTGAATAATTGATATACAACATATGAACTGAATTGATATACAACATATGAACAGTAATTAGAAACCTATATTGGCAACAGAAATATTTTTTGTCAGTTGCATATTCTCTATTAAATAATGATGACAGATCACTGCGCATCTGTATAAATGTTATTTTCAAATTATCGTAAAAGTCTTTATCAGCCAGGTTACAAAATGTAAACGGAAAGTTATTCTAATATATATCTAATATATAATAATTTAAATATCGAGCATTTAAAAAATCTAGGTCTACAATTTTAAAAGGCCATGAAATCACTTATTTGTACGGCTTTTTATTAGTGTAGTTACCATGGTGAGCGAATCTTCTATATAAATGTAAATGTAAGTTAGTTTTGTACACTAATGTCATCACTTTCATTTTAATCAAAATGCTGAAATAATTATATTCTCATGCATCTATAACCAAATTTAAAAGGTAGATAGATTTGCTCATTTGACGACTACTCCAATATTTTTTATTTCAAATTGTCTATTAACACTTTCACAGATTTATTTTTGTTACTACTTAAAGAAATTTGTGGCCAGATAAACCAGAAACATTATTGTTCCTATTCTAATAATTTTATTGAGTACCTTATTCTTTTTTTTTTGTAGCCAATTTGTTCAGTTTGTTCTTATAAATGTTCGGGTGTCAACTGTATTGGAAGTAATTTAAGTAAAATCATTCTGTAAGGTATTGCTTCACAATTGGCATCACTGAAATTCTCATTTAAAGTAGTTAGCTTATATTACTTAAGCAAATACTTAAAAATATACTGCATACAATCAAATGACCTTGTTTATGTTATATAACTTTATATATTATAGTTTATTCATCTTCCGGGTTTGGACCGTGTCATTTGTGAGTGACCCAAAAGTGGGTTCATCTCGACGTTTCGCTACAATTGTATGTAGCTTCTTCAGGAGAACAAAGAAAAAGAAATCAAAAGACAGGAAGATGGGTAGTTAGCAACGGTAACTCAGTTACTCAACGCAACCAGAGGCGAATACTAACTACCAAGATGGGCATTTGGTCACAGTAACTCAACTACTTAACGCAGCCAGAGGTGAAAACCAAATGCCAGGACAGGGATTCACGTCCAACAGCTCAGAACACTAACGCGTCGAGAGGCGGGGAGTGAATCCGACCGTTACTCCGCTACCGCTCTATTTATAGTCGCGGTGAGCTGTCGTGTCGGGACGTATCGGCACACTCCGTGGCGCGAACGTCAAGAAGCGCGCGCTGGCCAATCATGTGGCTGCATCGTGGTAGCGGGACCGGACGGCGGCTCTAGACTGAGATTCCAGATGGGAGACAGGTGTATCCTTCTTCTCGATTGATATTATGTGGATTTTTTCGGATCTCTAGAGATTCGCGGATTTTCCTGGAATAAAAGAAGGGGCTCTTAGAAATAATATGGGTTTTTTCGAACAATATGGAATGACCGGTTTCTTGGCAGTGTTCTGCAACTGCGAATGGGAAGGAAAATCCGCGAATCTCTAGAGATCCGAAAAAATCCACATAATACCAATCGAGAAGAAGGATACTACCTGTCTCCCATCTGGAATCTCAGTCTAGAGCCGCCGTCCGGTCCCGCTACCACGATGCAGCCAAATGATAGGCCAGCGCGCGCTTCTTGACGTTCGCGCCACGGAGTGTGCCGATACGTCCCGACACGACAGCTCACCGCGACTATAAATAGAGCGGTAGCGGAGTAATCTTCGGATTCACTCCCCGCCTCTCGACGCGTTAGTGTTCTGAGCTGTTGGACGTGAATCCCTGTCCTGGCATTTGGTTTTCACCTCTGGCTGCGTTAAGTAGTTGAGTTACTGTGACCAAATGCCCATCTTGGTAGTTAGTATTCGCCTCTGGTTGCATTGAGTAACTGAGTTACCGTTGCTAACTACCCATCTTCCTGTCTTTTGATTTCTTTTTCTTTGTTCTCCTGAAGAAGCTACATACAATTGTAGCGAAACGTCGAGATGAACCCACTTTTGGGTCACTCACAAATGACACGGTCCAAACCCGGAAGACGAATAAACTATAATTCTGACTCTGGCCGTGGAAGCCTACGATTTCATTTAACTTTATATAATTTACCAAAGTAATCAAACGGGTATAAACATGATTTAGACTATTTTACTTTCTTTAAAATTGTGAGTTAAGTTACATATATTCATTATGAAAGTGACTAACCAATAAAAAAAAGGTTATTACAAGGCCTAGTCTAATTAGCATTTTTTTGGTAGTTCTACACTACATGCAAATATTGTATGTGAAACTATGACATACATAAAGAAAAAAATCTATAATAGTGAATTCAGTATGCTCATCTTGATATAAAATTTCTTTTTAGGTCGTAGTAAAATAAATGCAAAGAACACAGCTGCCGAAGCTGCATTAAAACATTATGTAAAGACTAATAAATTGACGGAGTTGAAGAAAGATGATGAAGGAAATGAAAAAATGGATGTATCTGAAGATGACGCAGCTCAAGCGCCGTTACCATGGCAACATGTTGCTTCATTTGCTCTGTACAAACTATTTTGCTCATGGGGAGAAGATCTTACAGTCGTAAGTAATATAGTAATTTAATGTGACATATTTTTTGACATTTTTCTCCATGTGAAATTAAGAACTTACCAAACATGCCTTATTCCGTTCATTTTTGGACATCAGCTCCCCTCCCCTTGCAATGACGACCAGTGGCTAGGTACTGGCTTACGAAGCTGTGCCTGGGTTCAAACTATCCCTGCACAGGCATCATAAATAAGTCGAATATCTAGTTTGACTGACCCACATCTGGGTTTCGGAGAGCAGGTAAAACCGGCTGTCCCGCCTACGTAAGTAGTTGTTAACACTAAAACCTGAGCCAAAAGTTTAGAGGAAAGGAAGGTGTACAGTAAGCCAAACAATGAATTCCGAAACAATCCACTTATTCTCTATCTAGTACTTAATTTATCTATCATTCTAATGTGCTCTAGACATTTTTATTGATACTCATTGTCCACTTTTTATGCTGACAGCATAAGACACTAAGCTAAATTTACATCTGTAATTTTCTTCTAGACATGTCTGTTTTTGTTCAACATTGCTTTTTGTACTGTTCAAATATTATTCTGTCTCTTTCTAGGATGACCTGTTCATCTTCTGATAATTCGCTTGACTCCGGATATTCTTACTATTACTTTGTTTTTTTTTAATTTGCTATTATATCTGTTCATATTTTAATCTTAAAATAAAACTAACTATATCAAGTGCTTAGAATTATAGCTCTTGTGCGCTCTGGATTTAAAAAATAAAAAGATTTTATATTTTTGTTATCTTCACATCATGTTAAAGCACATATTCTGGCTTTAAATATCTATGTTCATATTTTAATCATGGAATAAAACTAACTATATCAAGTGCTTAGAACTATAGCTCTCGTACACTATGGGTTTAAAAAAATGAAAAAAATTAGAATTGATATTTTTGTTATCTTCACATCATGTTAAAGTACATATTCTGGGTTTAAAATAATTCTCATATCAATCAATGTTTATTTTGTTTGAAGATTGAATTATGATGTGCCACATGGAGTCAGCAGGGTAATTTGTTTAATAAATTTCCATAGCGTTACGCCTGTGGCAGATTAAGGTTTAAGTTAAGGCACTTATAAATAATCGTTCTGGTTAATTTTTGTGTATATTGCTTAAACTGAGCCTCACTGAGAGTTGATCTTTTTAATTTTGATTAAATAGATCGTAGTTTCGAAGCTTACAATGATTTGATTTTATTTTAATCATAAATCTTAAAAAAAAAATCTGAAATAAAATGGTGAATAATTGATATAACCTGTATAACAATATCAATCAATATCAACATATTGATATATTGGTCTTTATTTTATGAATTCAAGCATGAGCAATTAATTTACTGTTGGGTTTTAATAATACTCAGTGGCATTAGAAGTGTTACACCCAGAAGGAATAATTTCTTGAACTTAATTTTATGACAACAGAATGACTTTATTTAAAACAAGCTAGCAATATATCTTTTCTAATTTTTGTAAAAATAAAGTTTTATCTTTAAATTTTTTTGCGAGAGACCAATTTGTAAATATCGGTTTGTAGAAATTTTTAGATATTATCCTCAGTCTTATTGTATTCTTCTTCTTTTTATATAGACATGACTCTTGTCTGTTTTTCAATGTGCCTCCAGTAAGTTGTCATTCCATCGTTTTCGTGGTCTTCCTATTGATCTTCTTCCTATTGGGGAACCGTCTCTTGCCGTCTTTACTACTCTATTTGTTGTCAATCGGCTTATATGATCGTTCCATTCTACTCTTCTATTTCTTACTCAGTTTTTTAGGTTCTCCACCTTGCATGTATGTCGTATATCTGTACTTCTAACTCTGTCCCATAGTGTCTCACCATCAATTTTTCAAGTGTTTTCATCTCTGCTGTTTCTAACATCCTTTTTGTCCTCTCTGTGTCAGATCTTGTTTCTGCCTCGTATGTCCTTATTGGTCTGAAATTGTATTCAGTGTATGAAAATGCCTTCAATTTCGGAGACACCAAAATTACCACCATGTTAGCTATATCGACAGCGGCAGAATTATTGCGTATAAAGATATGGGTTTGTCGTATCGCTAAATTGGCCGTCGTGTTAATTGTATGGCAATGACGGTTATATGTGTCTGTCAGGTTTGGACAAAAGAAGTCAGAGAAACACAAAGAAGACCAACTGGTCAAGCGAGGCATATGCCATTTTGCTACTACGCGTCAAAGTAGTTCGGAGTAGTAGTTTGTAGGTATATATTTGGATAATACTGTTCCGTCTTTTGAAACATCATTTTTTTCTTCCCAATTCAATGTTCCAGTGTTGTGAAACAAAACCAGTACTTGCATGCATTTAGTAAAAACATTATTTAGTTGCTCTCATGTTATGAATCTTAGCTCAATATTATCTGTGAAGTAGAAATGTATAGTGTGTTTCATCTGTTTAATAAAATCATGGAAACTTTTTTTGCACTAAAATATTGATATAAATGTGCATATATTTAAAATACGAACCTTGTAATGTTCGATCAAATAATGTCACACTGTACATTATCTAATGTATGGACAAAGAGATATATTTACTTATGTTAACTTATTTTTTTGTTTTAGAATCAAAATCAGTCTACACCCAGTGGAGAAAAGCTGCACGAAAACAAGCCTGCTAAGAAAATGCCTGAAAATCCAGAAACTATTAATCCGTTAATGCTTGTCAATCAGATGCTACCACAAGCACAATTTGAGGAAATTGGAAAAACTGGAAATCCTCCAAATATTGTTTTTTCATTCAAATGCATTGTTGATGGAGAATCATTTATTGGAACAGGTAGATATTGCTTTTGTTAGTTCTAATATTTGTTGGTTGTAAAGTATATTATGATTCTGCATATAGTAGTAATGCAAAGCAATGAAAAGGCACATCAGTTAATGTCAGTTTATTAAGAATCTTGGCAAAACACCCCGTTTCGAGTGTCCGTTGGGAAAAAGTTTATGTTCTCTCCAAACTTGGTATCTCTGTATAAGCTGTGTTTGACACGGTTTCCATCTGCAATTTTTTTGGAGGGGTTTTTTTTTTCAATTTTTCCTAAACGTTTCACCCGTCAGACAGGAAAATCGGAAATCACGTTGCGTATTTAACGCGTCTGACGACTCTTACCTTTCAGTCAATTGACGACACAAGAATTTTAACTTTGTTTAAGTAAATATTACAGGATGTTATGGTATAGCAACCGTGTAGTTATTTCACAACATCCAATATACCGCTGCGTCACCAGTCGAAAAAGACTGGTAACTACGTGTGCAGAAATTACGGCTAAAAATAAACACATGTTTTTCCATCTGGCGAGTAACGTACAAACGAAACGCGTTGGTAAAAACTAACATTATAGGTACCTATATTATTGTCTGAAAGAGATCTATCTAATAGAGCGGTAACTTAATACCAGTTGTATTCGACTGGTAACGCATACAAGTTATTTATTTTGCATTTTTGGATTCCCAGATGAATTCATCTGGTGAGTAATTTCATTAGTAATTACCAGTTTAGTTTAGTTATCTCGATCTAGCCATAATAGTGTTTCAAATATTTGTATAAGAATTGAGTAAATAAGTGGCACTGTTAAATTAGTAAATTTGGTGTTGCAAAATACAACTACAAGTGGTAGTTGTGTAGAACTCAATCAGAAATTGGATCGGCACCAAGAAACAATTATAAATACTTTGAGCGAATCAGAGGAAGAACTATTTACTAAGTGACAAAATTTGGACTGTGATTTTAATTACGCTCCTTCTGAATATTCAACTAGTTCAGATAATGACGAATATAAAATCAGTTTCGGGAAAACATATACTGACCAAACCTATAGGACCTGGTACCAAAAAAGGCGAAATTGTATGGAATGTTACAAGAAGCTGAATTAAAAAATGAAAAATAAAGAAACTGATAAAAATGTATTTAAAGTTACTACACACTGTAACATATGCGAGGGAAAATTATGTTTACCATGTTTTAGTTTTAAACTCAATGAGTAAATTTTAAAACTGGTACTGATACAGTTTTTAGCAAGTTCGTATATTCCTTGTATGTATACAACTATTACTACACATGAATATTTCGTCGTCTTGGTTGTCAACAGGCGTAAACCACAATGTCGTGAAACTGAGAAAATGTCTTTCAAACATTTTTAAGCCAATAAATTTCAATTGTTTTGTTTATAACTTGGTCATTTTTTAAGATTAAGAGCTCCAACTTTATGCTTTATAGGATTATTTAGATGTATGTTAATTATTAAAATTTTCTGTTAAATATTTTTTAAGATACGTGGCATACGTCCATTGAGCACTGAAAATTAGTTGCATTTGTGTAAGTGTTAAAAGAATCATGCCTCTAAAATACTTTGAAACTGAAACTTTTAAACATAATAAATATTCATAATAAAAAATACTTGTTTAGAATAGTATTTACATAAATGTTATTCTTTACTATGCAAGCTTGTAATACCTGTAGATAATATTAACAGCAGAAATATTTGTTTAAAATAAAACAAAAATTGAACTTTTAAATTTATTACATACTATTCTGAAAAACAAAGAAATAAAACTAAATTGAGGTTACGTAATAATAAAGACTTTACTAGTCTACATCACTTTCTGTGTCACTGTTTTTACGAGTAGCATCCTCATCAAACTCTAAACCTTTGTAGAAGTCGTGGTAGGCAGATGGAATACTACCTTTCTTACACATTTTTAACAAATCTCTTGATTTGCTTTTCTCAATTTTGAGTTTGGCTGCGTATAAATTTGATACATCTATCGTGGATTGGTTTCGAAGTTGTCGTCGATGTATGTTCAGAGATTGGAAGTGGTCCTCACTCAGTTGATATTTATAGAAAATAGTTGCACGTTCACTTTTGCGATATTGAAACCACTTAACATTTAGCCATTTAACTCTTTCTCCGCTTTCAGAAATTGTTTTGTTTGTTATAAAATGATTACTGAATTTCTTAAAGTCAAGAAAATCGGTATGCACCATTTCAACAACCTTGTAGTAAGGTTTTCTGGTCTTAGCGGTACGAGCCACCATGTACCAACCTTCTGGTGTGAATACATCTACTTTTCTACCCCGAGCTTCTATAGCAGAGTGTACAGAATCACACTCCATCTCGGAGTGCCCCAATTCCATAAATTTCTGATTAATGATATTAATGGGCATGTGTTCCACAGCACGCAAAAACATTGCAGATATAACAGAATTGCGATTCTGACCTGACGCAGTATTTCATTTTTTTTTTTCTCCCAACTACATCAAGAAGTTCCATAGGCAGCTGGCGATTTCTGATGCACCCTTTGAACCAAAACCTTCATGCCACATATAATTAGTAGCTTCCCCAACAGCCAGATTATACAATGTAAAATTGTAGGTCTTTAGTTTTTTAAAATAATATATTTGTCCTACTTGTAAACTTGGTGCTAACAGTATTTTTTCTAGATCCATACTATAGCATTCAAATGTTGAATCTAACTTAGCTTTGGCTTTGTCATTTTGCTTGTGCTCTCTGGCCTCTTCTTTGCGTATGTCAGTGTACATGGCCTGTTGACTAGATTGAACAGAGCTTTTCTCCTTTATCCTCTGTTCTGATTGTCCCATTTCTATAATGTTCTTATTGGCACTATCTACAGAAAAAAAATTAAATATAAATATATTTCTTATTATAAGAATTGTACAGTTAATGTTTGCCTGACTTAAAAGATATTGGTGTCAAAAAAAAGAGAAATAAAAAATACCTATAGAACTGCTGCTTGAAATAACATTACTAAGCTCAGCATATGTCGCTTTTTCAATAGTTTCATAAGAGCCGTGAGTTACAAGGTCCGCCTCTGAATACCCGGGTTGTGCAATTGTTTTGTCAGCAACTATAAATAGAAATAATAAATAAAATACTATAATGAGAAAAGGCAGCAAATATTTGATTTCACGCAAACAAATCCTATGTATCTCTTGATACGTATTTCGACCTAATAGGTCTCGTCAGAAGAGCTATTCATAGGGGTTCTCAACGTGAAAAATCAATATTGTCTGCCTTTTAAGAAGCAACAATAACATGGCTTCAATACGGACGCAGTAGCGACATCTAATCAAACAATCGTAAAATAGTTTCGAAACACAATTCAAAAAATAATATAATTAGAAAATACTCCATACAATACAGAGTATGGCTTTAATGATCATTAATATAAAATTTGTTATAAATAAAGTAAATTAAAATACCTTTAAGTTTGGGCTTAGAATAACATTATAAAGCTTAGAAAATTCAATTTAATCGTCCCAAGTAACTAATTGAAACATAATTATAATAATAAACTATGCACAAGTAAAAACAATTTATGGAATAATACTTGAGCTTCCTTGGCTCCTACTCAAGTTTATTTTGCACATAAATGTAGTATTAATTGTTTATAATTGCTTACCTTCGGGGTTTTCTTGATTTAAAACTGCTGCAACCATTCGTTTTCCACTTATGCAACTCATTATTTTCTTTACTTTTATCACTTTCTACACATTAACAGAAATATTTTAAAAAGAATAAGTTCTAGTAGGTAACTGTTTAACAACGAAAGCCAATACAAGACTGACTACCAGCTAAACTGTAAAACTACGTGGCAATGATCAAATTTTAAAGATTTTTGCTTGTTAATAATGGTCGCATTTCTAACACGACCCTATCATCAGGTAAAGTAACTGTAGTCAAAGGTCGTATGCCACATACACCTCTTGTCAACAGAGGGAAGGATATAAAAAATTATTTTATTTATTTTGGAAAGTCAATAGACGTATGTTGCTTGCTACTACGGACTTCTTTATGATATGTGTATTAAGCCTATTGGCAATTTACAAAATACCTTACTAGGAGATATTTATGGGTAAAATTCATTGACCACAACATTTTTTGACGAATTTAAAGTAGTCTTGCGTACTTACCTCCGATTCATAAAAATTGTGGATTACGCCTTTTGACCACCACGGCGACGATTTGAAAATTTACAGATAGATCGCACTCACATTTCTTAAGAACTACCAGTCTATTGCGACTGGTGTATCTCAATACCAGTCTGGTAATAATTACAACTGGTAAAACATACAGCATAATAATTGAGTTTTTTGTAATCGCAGCGAAGGTGTTAATTAGATTTACAACCCGTAATACAATCATGTTACATTTCAGTTGAACTAAAGCAGTTTATCTGTTTACATTCACAACGATTTATGAAAGCTATCGATGCTACTAAAATTATTATATTTTTTACCCTTCTTAAACTGAGATAAATTCTGTTCTTTTCAAATATTGGGAGCTTCTAAACAAATAATAAAATTAAATAGTAAGTACATTTCAAAATTTTCATAATATGCCAAATTATTTTTTTTTAAATTATGTCATTTGACGACATCGTGACTCAACGACCTGAGTAATAAACATTTTTACGGTTATTATTAGATCTAAAAATAAGTCAAATAAAGAGATTTAGGTCTCTTTCCGGACATCTAAAGAAACTAGATTTAGTTCATTTACGGCCTATATTGCAGAAGCTTTAATTTCATGTCGCATAGGAACTAGAAAAATAGAGCGCCCGTCAAATGGAACTAAATCAGAACCAAAAAGAATTAGGAAAACGGGCCTTATTTTAATAATAAAAATGGTACTATTCTTACCAAAAGACGTTAAGAATACCATAATTGCGTAGAAATTATTAACAAAATATTTTTCATTGCAGTAAAAAAAAGCGTGACCGAAAGGGTCACATAATCGTCACGTCCTGCGTCGAATGTCACGTTATTCACGCGGCATTTTGCGTTCTGCGTCGAATGTCACGTTATTCACGCGACATTTCACATTCTACGTCAAATGTCACGTTATTTCACGTGACATTTTACGTTCTGTGTCGAATGTCACGTAGTGCGTCGACGTTCTCTTAGGCACTGTACGGAAAAGACGAAGAAGAAGAATGTTCGAGAGTTGATATGGCTTCTGTACAAACAACGCTTTCATTTGACACCTCATACGTCAAAATCAGACCACTAGCAACGAAGATACGTTTTAGCGCCCATTTGGCAATGCCGTCATCTTTGTTTTTGTCTCCGCGCCTCACCCTGTTCCAACGACCCCTCGTACTCCTCGATCGGACCATAAGAAACAAAGATATGACGTAATGACCTTTTGGCATGCTCCGATGCGCACGGCACATATTTCATTCAACCTTATTTTTCATTCCCTTTCCAACGAGCCCTCGTAGGTCATCCTACGTTAAGCCGTTTGGCATTTGTAACCGGGGTTGCGGTTTAGAGGTTGCGCCCAGATGAACGTTCTATATCTACTACGTACGTACAGACAATGTCTGAAAAATTACTGCGACAAACTTTATATAACCAACTAATTTTTTCAGGATACTTGCATTAACAGCAGAAAAACCACTTTTCATATTGCCTGAACTTGTTTTTTACGATTTTCCTGTCTGGCAGTAAAATGTTTTGGGAAAATTAGGTGAAACACTCCCGTCCCATAACCAACAAAAAGTTGGGAGAACGTATTTCTTATAAACTAAAACTTTTTGTCGACGGGTACTCTAACTAATAAGGCTTATTGCAACTATTTTTATGCACTTAAATGCTTTCCTTTTTAGACAACTTTATTGGTACATTCTATCAGTACTTCAATGTTTTTATTTCCTTATCCTTAGACTATTACTACTGTAATTTTTTACGTTGCATTGTTAGTATTTTCTATTTTGCTATGTGTTAATGCCAAACTTTGGTTTTCTAATTTTTAAATAAAACACTTTTTTTCATTATATTTTAATACCTACATTTTTTGCAGGTTCCAACAAGAAAGCTGCAAAGAAAATGTCGGCATTCGGAGCTTGCAGCAAAATATTGGGTATTCAATACCCACCAGAAGTTTATGTACCAGTTAAATAATTCATTTATATTAATGAAATGTAATTGAGAAATTACTTATTTAAGTTCCCTTTTTACATAACTTATTTATTATATATATTAATGTATAATGTGCAGTATGATCCAAACCTAGTATTTTAGAATTTATTTTAAGTTTTTATTAATAGACACATTTTTTATGATTATACTAGTTAATGTAGATTTAAATCATAGATAGTTCTATGATATTTGTTTTTCAGTTTTTGTAACTTCGGCTATAAATATTTGTGGAAGTTAAAAAGTACATTTTTTACAAAAAGTCAAAAACTTTCAATACAATCTTATAGCAAAAAACCATTAAGAATTTATGTAACAAATATACAAATTGTAACAGTTAAAAAATCAGAATTTACAGAACAAAAAATAATTTTTCTATATTATATAGGCATAGAAAAATTCTACACATTGAGTGGACATCGAAAGTAGGGTGTATGAAATAAATGAATTCAACTAGTAATTCATTTGGCATATGAGGCAAACTGAAAGGGAACTAAACTTATTAATAACAAAAGCATTGAAATGGAAACTACTGAACACTTTTTTGTCTTCCATTTTCTTATATGTAGCGCAGAAGGTACAAAAACGTGAATCCGTAATTTAAAAGGTTACTGTTTTCTTATATATGTAGTAGTTATGGCAAAAATGTAAGTTAAGATTTTAGAAAAAATGTTATTGCTTTGTTATGTAGCACCTTATTTTAGCACAATTTAATGTCAAGGTAAAACCGTGAAAGTACATTATAAATTCATTTTAAATAATTGCAATTAAAATAGCTCGGAAAAAATTATTCTAGATGGACTCAAATTTGCCATAACACTTACAGATACGTATCCTCGAATATCTTTTGATTTAAAAACAAGAGCATTAATTATTTTAAGCTTCTAAATGTGAATAAACGGTCAACCACATACTACTGTTTTTATTTATATATCATTTTTAAATATTAACAAAATTGCAATTCAGATTGATAAATTTTTTCTACTACTTCACTTATTTCTACTTCTTTGGCAACACCAAGGAGAGCTACGTTGAGTATTTTGTCTGAAAGCCTGAAAAAAAATATATAATTTAAGTACCACTAAAGAGATATTTGGAACAAGTTTGGAACAAGAACGAGTTATTGAGTCACTACGTACCAGATTACCGCCAGTGTTAGGCTTTTTTTTGTTATGCTATACTGTTTTTTTCTCTAAACGGTAATCGTTACCATGTAAGGTAGCAGTGCTTGAAGCCGAAGTTTCCTTTTATTAAATTAATACTTTGGATATGACATGAAAATGGAGATTTTGGATATTTCAGAGATTGAAAATAGTCGTTGGCGCGTATTAAGATTGTATACAAATAAATCACCTCAACAAGAAATTGTTAAACATAAAAATTTTTTTTCTGTTTCCGGAGAAACTAAAAATATTAATGCTACAGTGCGTGACTACTTTAGCGTGAAAGTAGAAAAAGCCTTTAATATCTGGATAATTAAAAGATAGAAATAAGATACATGAAGAATACAGAGTATTAAAAAAAATACGGCGGATAAGGTAAGATTACAAATTGAAGGTAAGTTTAACAGTAGTAGTCAAGCCTTTGTGAAAAGAAACGGCCCAACCGGGTGTACATTTAGAAAACAAAGATAAAACGATATGTACTTAAAGTATGGAAGGATCAACCAATTTTGCTACTGTGGCGTTGCAGCTTATAATTTTTACCTATCAAAAAATCTTCGTCCTCTAAAAATTAAAAATGTTCTTGTTTTCATCCATGAAGGAAATGAGTATTTGGGAAAAGATGGAACTCTCTAGTTCTAGTTTGATGTCACACGGCCACAGACATACTACCTGAGTGAGAGCGCCCACCAAAGTGGCGTGGCAGTAGCAAGTAGCACGCGTCTAGCATAATGTAACCAATCCTAACGAATGATTAGAATGAATGACGTTACTGTCATTTTGGTGTAAACTGAATCATTCGTTTTCATTGGTTACATTATGCTAGACGCGTGCTACTTGCCACGCCACGCCACTTTGGTGGGCGCTCTCACTGAGAATGACGTTTGTGCCACATAATAACTAGGATTCTTGGTCATCCTAAAAAATTAAGGACTTGACCACTCACTTTGTGTGAGAAATTAATGGGTCTCTGCCTAGAACAAATACATATACTGCGGACAAAAACTAGTTGGCCACGTGGACGATATAACTTCAAACAATGCTAGAACCAAGAGATGTATGTAGATTAACCATACTTACTTGTTCATTAATATCCAAGGTCTAATGTTTGTCGTACTATACATGGGATTGGTTTTGCAATGTTTATAAAAATCTATTTTGTATTGAATTATGTTAAGAGCGTAATCCTTTGGTAGCATCTTCAAGTATTTAGAAGACTTTGATGACCTGCAAATAGGTATAAGTTGATATTTTCAATGTAATCTATACACATTGGTAGATTTTCTACTTAAAATATTAATAAATTGAGTACGTTCTCGTTAGTTGTTATCCTTCCGAAGAGTGTTAAAAATTAAATGGTTCATATCGGAAAGGACATTCAATTGTTTGAATTCTTTCTTGAAAACGAATGGATAAAAATATACTAACTACACCAATACTAAATTACAAACCGAAAGAAAGAAGTATAATATGGTACCCCTTGGAAATATAGAGCAAAATTGGATGAAAAATGCTTAAACCATGGAATGAAAGAACCAAAAAAATTCTGGTCTAATAATTCCTAATCTAAACAAAATTAAAACTATTGAAACGAAAATATGTTTAATTGTTTTGCAAATCAAAAATTTCGAAGGAATTTAAAAATTCTGACCAATTTACATCATCTTTAATAAATATACATCGATCGATGAAATCCAAGCAATGCTATAAGGATAAGAAATTTCAGCAAGGTGGCGGACAAACCTTAAATAGCACTGATGATTGCCAAAGTTCGTTAGGACATGGCATTATATGATTAAAATCGCAAAGGAATTTGAAATAGACCCCACGGGTTGAACGTTACGACAATAATCTGGTATAAGGCTGGTTTTGATTTAGAATAAAACCTCCAATAGGAATGTGCTTGGTGGAACAACGAATGGAGAAATGTAACGCAATGACAGCCTTTAACAAAATAGGCAATAGGAGCAGTTCTGCGAAGGAATTACCAATTTACTCAGCGCGATGAGCTTTCAAAAAATTTATCTCAAGACCATAATGACATTAGATTACTCATTAGACAAACTTGGCATACGTCAACCAAAGAGAAAAACATGAAATGCATTTTGAATGTTTACTTTCTTGCTGTATATGGGAGATGAAGCAGACTACGGTACAAATTTTATCTTATAGATTATATTCCAAAATAATGGCGACAGACTAGAATCTGTATTATTCTTAAGGTAAATTTTCACTAGATGGATCAAATATACAGTACGTTAAGTTTTGGATTAGATATTGCAAACTACATAAAGCGCTAAAATCGGCAACATTGCTTCGTACAAGGTTCTTAGACTCAGACAAAAAACGAGAAAATGGAACCATTTAGTAACGCATAACAACGTAAGGAATATGCATCTCCACCCGTCGATTTTTGTTTTGCTTACAGGTGGAGTTTACCGGAAGTACAAGCTGAATATAGCCGCAAATGTCAACCATGAAATAAAATATTTCGATTTGGCAGTGTTGGGATGTCTTTATAATATATTATGTTGTATGCTTTAAACATAAAGAGAGAAAGCTTTTAAAAAGTACATTTGGAGACATTTTTAGAATCGGATCTGTTGCACTAAACATGGATGTATACACAAATGATCTTTCAAGTCGTAGCGTAGAGAGGTCTTTGAGATCAAAGGATCCCTTTAAAATCTAAAACTTCTGCAATTTGTTTAAAATGAAATCAACCTAACTATTTCGCACTGCAACAAAAAAGTGTGTATTGTATAAAGAAGTCTTAGATCTATAAGCGCCTTGTCATTCTAAAATGCGACAACTGTCTTGTTCATTTTTTGAATGTCATTTACAGTATAATTATAAAGAATACTAGATGAACCCTAGGATATGCTCAGGATAGGTAATAATGCGTGTATTACATAAGAATTCATTTAAACCCTATAAAATACAGTTGTTGCAAGAATTAAATGAAGATGATTGCCACAGTAGATTACAGTTTAGTGAGGCAATGATGAATCAAATTGTAACTGACGAGAACTTCGTTAACAAGATATGTTTCCGGCAAAACAATATTTACACTGTGTGGGAATATAAATCGCCAAAATTTAAAGTATTAATGTGGGGTTAATCCACATTTATTACGTGAAAACCGTACTCAAAGATCACACAAACTTAATGTATGATCGGGTATAGTAGGTACTTAGGTAATTCGGTCGTTTTTTACAGAAGGAAATTTAATAAGCAATACTTATGAAATGCTGCTTAGAAATGAAATTTAGGAACGCCATAAAAAACTTTGGAGTCAATTTTAATGATATATGGTTTCAACAATACGAAGCTCCAGCTTTTTATTGGGGATACTTAAAAAGTAGAATTTATAAAACCAAACTATCAAGTGTTGCAGAGCTAATATCCCAGTCTGGTTATGGAGAAATCATCGATTTCACTGCAAAATTTTTCGCAGATATCTGAAGCTTTTAAGACATAACGTAGGGGTTACTAGATGACGTTGTTGGGGTGGTTAAGACGTGGGGGTTATTAGATGACGAATAGACGAAAAAGTACTCGTATTTTTACCTTGCGTTTTTTTAAGCAATAATTTATGGTCATAATTTGATTTTTTGTCTTTTCTTTTTTTTCCCTTATATTTTACATAAACAATATTTATATAATTTTTTTTATATCAAGAATATCTTTATTTTCCCGTTTTTTAAATTAAAATTGATATATAATTTACGGAGATATTTGCAATAAAATAACAGTTTTTTGCACTAATTTATAAGTTTTATTAATTTTTTTATTAACGGAATAAAATGTTATTAATACATTTGAACATCAAGGAATTACCGTCTTTTAAATTTGTGCGAAATTTCCCCCGATCGGTCAAAAAGTTATTTAATTAGTTTATCCCTGAGGCTAAATATTTAAACTATTGAACTTGCTCTATTAATGATGCTAGACACATTTAGCAAATTTCATAGGATTCTTTAAGACTCAAAATATCTCAGAAGTTAAATGCATATTGCGTTTTCATCGCAATTATTTACAAAATAAACGTTTGAAAAAGGGGTATTTTTTTTACTTATAAACAATAATTGTAATAACTTCTATACTTTTTAAGCTACAGACTTGTACGTACAACCATTGGATAGCTGGTTAAATGTAAATTGTGACGAAGGGATAATACCAGGATGGAAATATCTGACGTATCTGACGGTTTTTATGATTTGGAAACCAATTTTGTGTAACAGAAACCTTCGCGATCCATACTCGCAAGAAGGTTCTGAAATATTATGTGTAGTCTATCCTATTATATTGTTGTGAGACATGGACATTAAAAACCACAATGCTTTACAAATTCGAATTGTGGTGCTATCGACGGATCTTAAAAATATCATGGGATTCACACACTTCAAATCAAGATGTTCTTAAAATGATGCATTCCGAACGTTTGATCATAAACATCATAAAGACGTCTAAAACAGAAATAAAAGGAACTTTCATGACTGCGAAATATTAGACAATGGTGTGGTACTACAGTAGACCAATTATTTCGCGCGTCAGCCGATACAGAAAGGTTTCAGGAAATTGTAAACACGATGACGGCTAACGTCTAAATACGGACACGGCACTCTAAAGAAGGCTTTTGTTCCACTGTGTTTATTAAACCGTCCCACTTCGAAAGCACTGATGTTAATTTCTCTTGCATTGTGCAAAGTTACAAACATCTCTGCCTGAAATACTAGATACTAGAAATACAGAGGTATATTCTGTTATTGGATTAGAAATGTTTAAATTTTTACCACTACAAGTACATTGTTACCCGTGTCTAGTGTTTTCTTTGCTCCATCCCTCTCGTGGAGAAATGTTAACTTTGCAGGGTACTTTAGGTCTATATCTGGGTACCATAAGGTCAGAAATCATCATATATTCGGTATCCTTAATTTCATTTCTGATGTTACTATGTCCTGATCTAACCAATACCTTAGTCAGGTTTTCGCGCAGTCTGTAATATCCCTTCCTCGCCACACTCTTTATAATTATATGTGAAGGAGAGCGATCCAGCAGGACCTCTATCGCTGCCATTGGTGTGCCTCTCATAGGCCCTGTGATTCCGAGAAAACCCAGTTTTTGCACCTTGCTTAGTTTGATAATGAAACCTTTATGCTGCACCTTTGGTCACCATATCACTGTATGTAACTGTTGGTTTGCCACTATGTTGTAAATCCAATATAATATGTCTAGTTTTTTAACCCCACATTTTCCATGATTTCGTCTGGCTACCATTAATGTGGTTATTCGTTTCATGTGCTGATTTCAAGTAAGTCTCGAGCCTAATATTACCTCAAGGTACATTACTTTACTCACCAGATTTAGACTTTAGGACCCAATGCCTCTAAATTCCTTCTAGTAAATTTCACTTTTAACATACATTAAACTTATGTTAAGCCCTATAGGTTATTCCACGAATATACGACTGTTTTGGATTATTACGACAACGAATATTTTACTGTGCAAGTAGAAGTATGAAAGTCAATTGGTCTAAACAGTATTCCAATAAAATGGATTTACTGTTAGTTTGACACACTAAAATTATTTCAGTTAATATATGTTCAGATAGACGCAAAATTTATTGTGAAATTTAATCCGAAAATAACAAAAATTTTTACGCAAACGGTCCTACAAATAAATACAATGAGTTCTATGAAGCCAAAATGTGTTCATAAGACATTTGGGTTGGGTTTCCGTGAAATGTAAACACCAAAGAGGCGTGCCGGGTTCCTTTGATATCACACTTTTTATTACTATATTAGGTACTACAACTGTAATAAAAAGAAATATACTTTTAATATAAATGAAAAGAAATTGGCAGAACGATGGTTTGGAAACCAGAAAAAGGATCTATAATTTCACTTTGTTAGTTTTAAATATTTGTTTGATTTGAGTGGATGTACTCTTAAAAGTTCCGAAAGTAATGGGTATAACATACCGGCTATTGATAGTTGAAGTACCGAGTCGTTACAGATATTAAAAAGTAACGAACATTTATATACAGTTTCATATATCGCCGACTGATTTTAGTTTTAAAAACTGTCCGTATAGAGGTGTCCGATGAAGAAAGGTGCCATTAAGAGAGAGTTTAGTGTAGTGTATTTGTTTATTGAAGCCAAAAACGCCGAGACGTGTTTTAGATGTAGACAACTTTGTATTTAATGTACTTTCCTATGGTGAAGTTCTGTGAATCTGATGGTTGATGATAGTTTTAGGAGATTAGGAGAATAAGAGAACAAGTAAGTTTTTTTTGTTTTCTTAATACTAATTAAATATTCGACTAAATAAATTACACTATTGTTACACTTCGTTTAAATCACTTAATTCAAAAACCAACTTGTTTACAATACTAAAATCAATGATAGTAATTATATACTTCAAAATCTGAATTATAACTATTCTATAAACTATCAACTCTATATTTATATCATGACTTCATATTTAAATTTTAAGTCATAACAGTATTTTAAAAATAGGAGAATTTACTATTGTTCAATTCAGCACATTGGACCATTCAAATAGAGACCTTAAACCGAATTTAAAACAGTCGTATATTCGTGGAATGGAGTATATATTTGAAGTTCATTCTGTTACTACAGTCACAGACTGTTGCATTCTATTTCTGACTGTGTCATTGTATTTGCCGTGGGCTAAGATAGTCAGGTGATCCGCATAGCTCAGGACATGACTTTTGCCTAGCTAACAGCGCACCCATGACCAGATTTCAAAAGAGAGGAGATAACTTCTCCCTACAGACAGCCTCCAGCTACTTATGCTGAAACTGTATCCCCAAAAACTTTGCGTATTTCACACGGCTCCTCGGCATGCAGTTTATCCATCTACACCTTGTTTCGTCTTTTCCTTTTAGACAATTTACCATTGAGATTTCTAGTAAGAGGTATTGTCGGATGCTCCTTCTATATCGTGAAATGTACCCAACATTACCTCTTGGTTTTTCAATAAGTACTCCACCCTCTGAACGAGATAATGCAGTGCTGTTTTTGTAGAGACTTCTTTTCGATAATTATATTATCCCTGATGTATCGGACTTTCAACTGTACACCATACCTAATATGTCTATCGATCAGTTTTTCTACATAAGGTCTTCATTACGAATGACATCAGACTTATTGGCTCTGGGGACTTTTCCTGTCCAATTTTGCAAGGTTATGCTTTTATTAAAAATAATCTTAAAGTTAGGGAATACTCAGAAAACCAGATAACATTAAAAAAACTCAGACAGAATTTAAGTATGGGAACTTGTGTATACTCTATACCTTACATATTATACCTTTATCGAGACCAACATTTTGCGCTGGACAGGTTATTATAATTTAACTAATTTTACTGAAGTATTTGCAAGACCTAATCATGACTACTTCCAGAAATTCAACCTTTGATGTGTATTTACCGATCTCGTCCACTGAGTTAGTAATCTATATTATATTCGACAAAAAAATTATACAACCATCTCCTTTGCAACTTAAATCTGCAACTACTTCTTTAAGTCCGTAAATGACAAAAGCTATCATCTTTGAAAGACCATATTATTTAGAGAGTTCTTAACGAATAATCAGAAATTACAGTACTTTATGTACAAGTAACTAAAGTATATATATATATATATATATATATATATATATATATATATATATATATATATCACATGCAACAACTTAAACTTATTAGTTCGTAAGGTTTTCTTGTGCAATTTGCCATTTATTTAAAGTTTGCAATGTATTGTGTATTTTTATTATCTTTTATTTTGTGATATTGACGATTTATGTAATTTTAGTAAATTTTAAATTGTCATTTAATCAAATAAAAGGCCAGATATCGAGCACAGTTTTTATTAAATCTTGCTCAAGTACTTTCACTCCTAGAACATCTTCAGGGGCATCTAAAATAAGCTAAGAAACGTTTTTTCAACTGAAGAAAAATTAATTAACTTCGAAAAAACAGTTAAAATTAACAAAAGTTGTTGGTTGTTACACATTTTTGAAGTTCTATACGCACGGTCGGCGTTGAAATTTGCACGAGAGTGAACCTGTGAAACCATGACATATGTAAGATAATCAGTAAGAGAGAAACAGAAGATATATTATCTCTCTCTTCCTCTCTAGAGAATAAAAATGTTCCTTTTGTATATATATATATATATATATATATATATATATATTTAATATTATATATCTTATATCTTTACAGATTATAGAATGTATAGGTATAAGGACAAACAGATATTGTAAAATATGTATATATATATATATATATATATATATATATATATATATATATAATATATATATATATATATATATATATATATATATGACTTACCAAAACGTAAAACACGTAAAACCACGTAAAACGTGACACAGACATTAAAGAACAGACATATAAAGTTGATATCTGATATCTCACGGTTTACTGTCAGTATATAATTATTTTTATACCGGCGTATCATAGCTTTTTATGATGTTTATTATTATTATTTAAATTAGATTGAAATATATATATTTTCGGCAACGTTTCCTGCCCAAACGTTGATTGTTATGGAAAATAAATCTAGTTCACATATAATATATCTTTATTGAACCTAAGCCCAAACACTAATTTTATATTATATATATATATATATATATATATATATATTATATATATTATATATATATATACAGATATTTTATATATAATATAATATATATGTATTAATATTATTATTTATGTGATACGTTTTGTATTATTTATTAAATGGTCATAATTATTTTAGGCTATTGTATTTCAAAATAATCACTGTATGACAGACAACTGTCAATTTTGAAATCCGTTTTTGTTTGTTTGTGTTTAAATGACTGCGGACACTAAATCCATTCGCCAATTTGAAATCCGTTAGTATCATGTCTAATTGGCAACTCTTTTACGTGTTTGGTTCATACGCTGGTGTACGTGAGTTCGAATCCCAATATGAATCGTCTTATTTATTTTTGAAATATTTAAAAACCTCACGTTAATGTTATTTAATATATGCAATATATGCAAAAATGCTGAATTTTAAAATGAAATGAAAATTTACAACATAATCTGAGTTGTTGGTTTTTTATTTTTATCTCCGTAAAGTAAGTTAGGTATATTGGCAGTTTTAAATACTTATGAATATTGCATTTTAATTTGTATTGTATTATTATATTGAATTATGTTGCAGTGTATTGTATTGTAATTTTTATATTAATAACAAAATCAACAATGAATTTTACTGCAGAGTATGTGTAAAAAATCTTTTTTGCATTCAACTCCTTTTATACATATATGAAAATAAAAATATATATTTTCATTAAAATATTGATACAATCCTTCATTTACTATACTCCTATTACAGGTCAAATATTTATATACAGCAAACGATGCACTATATACCTATATACCTAATTATTTTTCTCTTTCTGCTCTCTCTTACCTATAGCATTAAATATGTAATGATTGTGCAGATTGACTCCCATAAAAATTTGTAACGGCGAACGCGTGTGTAGAAGTATAACTTCTACCGGCAGTTCCACTGGACTGCCACACCCGTTTTTTTTTGTAATATAACGGTTTAGACTTACTTCATCAAAATTACGCTATCCAACAATATGGTGAATGTCATAAACATTAACTGATACATTTACACAACACGAGACAAAGAACAAACAGTTTAAAAATTAATATAAATTTCAAGAAGCTACATATTGGGTGACATTAGGAGAGAGAATGGCTCCTGGTCTTAACGGAAACGGAAAAAGAAAACTCTTTCTCATTAAAAAAATTAAGAAATTTGTATAAACCATCAACTTAATAATTAACCATCAATTAATTTTTCTTTAATTGAAAAAACGTTTCTTGGCTTATTTCAAATGCCCCTGAATATGCTCTAGGAGAGAAAGTACTTGGCAAGATTTAATAAAAATTGTGCTTGATATCTGCCTTTATTTGATTAAAATTGATTTATTCGAGCATTCAACCTTATATTACTTTAAATTTTTATTGTCATTTTGTAAGATTTGTCCATAAATTGTACAATTTTCAGTGACAATAAAGCATATTTCTATTCTATTTCTATTTACTTTCACAATTATGTACATTAATTCATAAATATGTATACAAATAACTTATAAATTCTGTAGAAAATTAAAAATTGTTCTTGTTTGTAGTAAGTTTTAATACCTTTTCATATTTAGCGAAATAGAATTTTTTTTAACTCTTTCTTTATTTTCTTTATCTGAGTCCGACTTATTACCAGAATGAATGGATCCCACTTCAATGATTTTTTCGGTTTGCCCATCTTTTAGTTCTTCCTCACTCTCTACAGAGCTGCCACTTTTTATTGAAGGTACCTTTGTAATTTTGATGTCATCTGTAGTTAATATCGATCTAAAATAGATAAAGAGACGTTTAATTTTTTTGCATATTTTATTTAAATTGATTTTTTAAAGTTTGTTGATATAAACATATAATATAGGGAGTCCAATTAAGTCGGCACCATATGGGCAAATTTTTATTTTTAGTTTTATGAAAACAAGTTATTCTTAAAAAGTTTTTAATGAACTAAAACCTAGAATACAATCATCAGATATTAAATTTGTTCAATTATATACATATATACAGGGTGTTTCAAAAAGGTTTAAATTTTAAGTAAAAAAGGTATGTCATAAATTAAATCACGCATTCCGGGGACAAAAATAAATTGATTGAATCCAACTTACCTTTGTAGTACAAAAGTGTACACAAAAAAAGTTACAGCCCTTTGAAGTTGTTACTTTCTTGTTCTGAAGGCATTTTTCATACAAAAGAAACAACAAAATCTAAGCGCACAGAAAAATTTTAAGAGAGGTGTGCGGCCCTAAATCCCACCAAACTTTTGAGTACGTTCAAATCAAATGAATTTTGTGGCATCATTAGTTTAACACATTATTTTTAAAACTTTTTTGTCTCTTATCATATTTTCGAAAAAACTAGTTTTTTCCTTGTTGGCCATAACATTACAATTAGTTTCTACGGATACAATAATTACAAACAGTTCCTTCAATAATAGTCAATAATTTGATGCTATCATTTATTGTGTGAATAAGATTAATATTAAAAATTTTGATATTACAATGACCTACACATTTCGGGAAATAGCAGATATGCATTTAACTTTGGGTAAGTTGGATCAGATTAAATTATAATTTCAATAAACTATCGGGAATATCGTAGGTGAATGTCAAGGAAATAGTGCAGCAGCCGCTAGGCGTTATGCAGTAAAATACCCCAATCGAATACACCCGCTAGACGATTATTTCTGACCATTGATCTTCGTTTACGGGAAACGGGTACATTCCAACCACAAGTTGCTGGCAATAGTGATCGTCCAATAATGGATGCAACTGATGAAGACATTTTAGAAATCACTGAAGAAGTCCCTGGAACAAGTACAAAGGTAATAGCTGCTCAACTAAATGTTCCTCACGGAAGGGTTTGGAGCGTTTGAAGGATCAAGAAGAAGAAATGAATATTGCAATAAGGCAAAATATGTGGTTTCTAAAAGATAGCGCTCCACCGCATTACAGTAATGAAGTCCGGGAATATCTTTGCAGGCAGAGTCCTGGTCGGTGGATTGGAAGGAGTCGTGACGTACCTATTTCTTGGCCACCCAGAAGTCCAGGTCTTAAACCCATGGACTTTTGCTTTTGGGGATTTATGAAAGTGAAAGTGTACTCTGTAACAATAGATTACGAACAACAATTGAGGGTTAGAATAATTGAGGCTGCAAATCGGAATTTCGTCAGAAAAATATGATTTTTCAGCGCATTAGGTTTTCCTTATTAAAAAAGTGATAAGAGGCAAAACATTTTTAAACATAATGTGTTAAACTAATGATGCCGCAAAATTCATTTGATTTGGACGTACTTAAAAGTTTTTGAGGATATTCCTGGAATGAGTGATTTAATTTATGACATACCTTTTTCAAACACCCTATATATATATATACAAACAACACAGTTTATTAGGGTTGCAGTCAGAATATTGGCCGGGATGTTAAAAAAAACACTCTTTTGACTTTTTGTCGAGCTTTCGGAATGGTTTTATTCCTTTTTCAAGACACTGTAAAAGACAATTATGTAAATATTTAAAAAATATCACAATTCTTCAGTGTAACTTACTAGTCGTTGAGATTATTTTTGTAAGCATTGACACTCAACATTTATACCACACATTAAAATATACAATTATGGACATAATACATCATAAAATTTTTAAAATTTGTTGTAAAAATAGTAAAACTTGATTGATGGCATGTTTTACTGGTGTATATTAACTCATACAGAGAATGGAAAGAAAAAACAGTGTAATTAATATGTAATTAGGTGTAATTGATGTTATCTTTCTTTACAAGAAATACTAGAGGCCCTTCTTAGGTGACTATACTTTTTAAACCTGTCTTAATGGTATGCAACATATTATACAGAGGTGTAATTTTTGTACAGGTAAATATTTATTTTATTTTTGGTGTTTTTCTAGTAAATAACAATAAATGTTACTTAATTTGTCTATGTCGGACTTTTTGTTGATGCAAGATGTGCTAGATTTTATGAAACACATTTCCAAAAAAACACGTTTTGAATGGTTCTTTTCTTTTGCCAAAATACAGGAATCATCGAAATTGAATTCATGTTTTAGAGTTAGTGCATGTTCTGTCAATGCACATGCATTGATTTTTTTGGTTTTTATATCACTGCGATGTGATATCACCCTGCTGTGAAAATTACGAGATGATTCTCCTATGTAAATTTTATTACAGTTATTACACGGTATAGAATAAACAATATTCGATGACTCCTGTATTGTGAAAGGATCTTTTGTTTTTGTGTAAAGCTTCGATACTGTTTTCACATTTTTGGTTGTAATTTTTAAGCCACTAACATTTTTAAAGATGTTCATTAGCTTAGGTGTCAAAAATGGAATGTAGGGTAGGCACCATAAGTATTAGAGGTAGATATGCTTTAAAAAGTATGGTCACCTAAGAAGGGCCTCTAGTATTTCTTGTAAAGAAAGATAACATCAATTACACCTAATTACATATTAATTACACTGTTTTTTCTTTCCATTCTCTGTATGAGTTAATATACACCAGTAAAACATGCCATCAATCAAGTTTTACTATTTTTACAACAAATTTTAAAAATTTTATGATGTATTATGTCCATAATTGTATATTTTAATGTGTGGTATAAATGTTGAGTGTCAATGCTTACAAAAATAATCTCAACAACTAGTAAGTTACACTGAAGAATTGTGATATTTTTTAAATATTTACATAATTGTCTTTTACAGTGTCTTGAGAAAGGAATAAAACCATTCCGAAAGCTCGACAAAAAGTCAAAAGAGTGTTTTTTTAACATCCCGGCCAATATTCTGACTGCAACCTTTTTGAGCATGCCGAGAAGGCGTTCTATAGAAAACTTAATTCCACTGTGAAAAGTGCCAATAAATCATACCCAAGCCAAGAAGAAATTCAGGAGTTTGGGAGATATCAACTTTTCACACCAGCTGCCTTAGGGAGGATGGGGCATTGTGAACCATCTAAGGAAGATATGCACATACTGTTAAACCAGAAATGATTTTGTTTTGTTTAATTAATTAGGGACGTTCATTAAACATTTAACTGTCATTTAGTTGCAATTGAAACATAATTTATTTAACGTATTTTCAATAAAAAAATGACAACTGACTATATGTCAAAAGTTCACATTGCCCCATAGGGTGGGGCAATGTGAACTACTGAGGAAAGTCACACTATTTCATTATCTAATGGCTATGTTTGGTAAATAAAATCAAGTAAAAAGAATTTTTTTATTAAAAATACTTAGAAAACCGGTAACAGAACATTAGTAAAAATAGACACATGATATATTTATTCAGAAATACAAAATTCACACTGAAATTCTTCATCATCTTCTGGATCTATTCCCGCACATGCTTCATGAGCCCATTTCAGACAGGCCGAGCAACGTACCCATCCTTCTTCATTGGCTGATGAGGAGAACCACTCGTTACAGTAAAAACATTCAGCATCTTCACCATTGCCATCATCTTGTACTTGATGGTTACATTTATTTTTTTTCTTTCCCTTACCATCTTTGGAAGGACAAACTTTTATTTTTTTGTTACTTCTTTCACTATCTTCGTGCTTATCATCATTTATTTTTTTCTAAGCTTTTTCCTTTTTCATTGTTTCTATTGCCTCCTTCGTGTTTATTTCAAGTTCTAATTCTAGCTTATACGGACTAGATGTCAGTACAGCCGTTTTACCTTTTTTAGATTTCCTCTTTGGTTCCATTAATTTACTTCTCTTTGGCAGAGGACGAATGTCTTTAGGGCTGTTTGCTCCAAATGAAGTTGTTGCTCTATTGTGTGCAGGGGAAATTGTCAATTGAAAATCGTTACCAGTATGAAGCTTTGCAACTGAGGTTGAAGCAATTACCTCATCTTGACTTAAGTGAGGCTCTGCAGTTGAAGTTGAAGGAATTGCCTCATCTTGACTTGACACTGGTAGACTATTATTCTCCAAATCTCTTTCAGTCGTAGCAGATGGTGCAAAATCGAGGTCTGTAAATATATTGGGATCATAAGGTACTATCCCACATTTTTTAAAAGCGTTAATAGCAGTCAAAGGTGTTGCAGCTTGTAAGAAAGCCTCACCAAAAATTTTAGAGATTTGGAAAGCTGTTACCACTCTGCCTGGGTTGTTATTAAGAAACTTTTCTAATGCCATATCATAATATCGTGCTAAAGGAGCCATGACACCAACATCGGTTGGCTGCATTCGATGGGTGGAATGTGGAGGCAAACAAATGATATGTACATGTTTTTCCCTAGCCAAATTAATTACTTCTATGTTTTTTGTATGGCTGCTGTGTCCATCCAAAATCAATAAGATCGGATCGTCTTCACTTGGTTTCGTTTGTTGAAGAAAATGTTGAAACCATATTAAAAAGAGTTCACTATTTATCCAGCCACTATCGCTACAGGCGAATATTGAACCTGGAGGTGCACCAGCTTGGAGTTCGACTTTCATTCTCTTTCTTGCAAAGATTAACATCGGCGGTATGAAGATTCCTGATGATGACATGCAAATAACGGCTGTTGTTATTCCACTTCTATCAGCAGAAGTAAGCCGTCCAACTTGTTTCCGTCCTTTATGCGCCAAGATTTTACTATTACATTTGGGGACTGTACCTAGACCTGTTTCGTCACAGTTAAAAACACGCGTTGGATTGACATGTTTAGAATCCAAAGTAGCTTTATACAGATCAAAAAATTGTTTTACATTGTAACGATTAAAAGCTTCAGCTCTTGCAGCAGATGTTGATTCGGGTTTACGTAATGAA